AATAGATCTATCTCTGTGTTCAATTATTTACAGTGGCGTCTTGTGTGTAGTAAGTCCACGCTGGGATTCCTGACTTCTTCTATTATGTTCCTTGGCTGGTTGTTTGGAAATATCATCTTCGGAATTCTATCAGACAAATATGGCCGCCGAAAAATCCTCTTCTTCTCTTCGTGTCTCGTCTGCTGGGTTGCATTTGTGAGTTCGTTTGTTCCTTGGTACTGGATGTATGCTACACTCAGGTTCATTATTGGTTTTGGTTTAGGTAAGCCGAGGGGTCCACAAATTTGCCACCTTAGAAACCGGAAGGAGTCTGGAGCCCAAATGTATTCCGCAATGGTTTCTGGGATTGTTAGTGGGGCCCAGCCAGTCAGTGATTGGCCAATTTTTTTCCTCTGTCCCTAGTAACACTCCCAGAAGTCCTTGCGAAAATTTACTCTTGCCAGTTTTCTTTTCATTTCTAAAGGGGCGAATTTTAAAAGGGACTTTTGTCACGACCGTTAAGTTCACGGTTGGGGTGGGGTTTGCCAGGTACACGATAACGCTAGCCTGGGTGAAGAAATTATTACGGAATGACAAAAGCACAGTTTCATGACAGAAAAACACGTCTTCTGAGCGTGATCATTCAGATTTACAAACAACAGACAGCAGTGTAGAATCTGTACTACAATACCTTGAATAAATCCTCACTGCCTATTTTGAGGTTGCAAGGGGATTAGCTCTTTGCTGTAATGTGTATTTGCACTTTGCGAATGTTTTGGAGTACGCCTTCGCTTTGTTTTTGGACATTTCAACATCTCGCGTAGGGGTACGCTCGATTGATCGTATTCCAGCGTAAAATACGCAAAAATCTGTGACCATTTAAATAGATACACGCATCTTAATTATTTATGTTCACCAGATATCTCGAGTTTACCATGCAGTGAATGCGAAAACAAGTGATTTTCAGAGTGAATTCCATGCATCTTTGGTCCGGACTACGGTCAATCTAACAGGCCCAAGGTCAAAATTCGTCGCCCAGAACGATCCCATAGTGCAGTTTGACCCAAAATTGACCCAGTCTTAAGCAATCTCAACCTCAACACTAGCTTCCGGGCAAGTTCTTCATTTATGGCGAGCGAGGCGAGCCGCGAGAAAACGCGTCCCTCGCACTTGCGTACCCTTTCGTGCGCTGCTCTCGCGTGACTTCTCGCGACTTCCCCAACTGGAGAGCTTGCTCCCAGGTTACCCCAACTCGTGACAATGACTTATTCACTTTTTCAGGAGGCTCCATCGTGTGCCTTTTCATCATGGCTACTGAATATGTAGGACCCAATCACCGCGCCATGGCTGGCACCTTTACTTGGTACTTTTGGACTGGGGCTCTTATGCTGATAGCCTTATTGGCGTACCTAGTGAGAGACTGGAGAAAGCTATCAATGATAACCTCCGCACCAGGTCTCATATTGTTTGTCTTTTGGATGTAAGTACTGAAAGCAAAATGCAGTCGTGTGCTCTTTGAGCGAAGTGCTTATTCTTTTGCTTAAGCCAAGGATTCGGTTTAACAAATAGCTCCCTTGATTAATACTGCAAAGGGGTGTTATGTAGGCCATTTCCAAGTTCAAAAAACTCTCACTTTCAAGACGAGGCTAAGTGCAAAACCTCTCTTGTGAAAATGAGCTTTATTTGCTTGAGAATTACAAATAAGTTTCATATCACGACCATACCCTCGTAAGGCACACACCAGGAATGGCTTTTCCTCTAGTATTCGTCGTCAGTCTTTGTAGATAGGAAACACACTACTTTCAGACGGTCAATTAAGTGGAGGTGGTGTGCTTATGTCGGACCTATTTAATTTCCAGGCTTATCCCGGAGTCTGTACGCTGGTTAGTGACTCACGGAGAGATGTCACAAGCCGAAACGCTACTGGAACGAGTCGCGAAGACTAACAAGAAAGAAATGCCCGAGGAAGGGTTGGGTCTACCGGACGACCAAAAAAGTACTCAGCATGAAGCTGGTTTTATGGATTTGTTTAGAACCCGTTCAATGACCAAAAAGACTGTTATCAGCTGGATATCCTGGTTGGTGTAAAATGTTAAATATTGTCCTTAATCAAAAATATAAAAACAGCGTAATTTGACAAACAGAATGGAGTAATATGGTGGATCCAGCGTGATATTGTAACCTAAACGAAATGCTGTGGCTTGAAGGAACAGTTTTGAGGATAATCTAATATACTCAGTTAAATTGATGTCACCCTCTGTCCAAAAATTCCAGCAGACAACGTTATCTCGTCAGGCACAATTTCCTCGTTCCAATGTGACAGAATCGCCTGCTGTCCCCGGGGGGGGGGGGGGGGGGTACTTCCCGTAATGGCCTATACGGGGAGGCTCCGGCCGAAAGCGGTACCTGTTTTAGGCCTTAGGTATATGAAAGGGTAGGTATTTTACGTTTCTGGGAAACTACCCACCTACCTCTCACCTAAGCCAACATTAACTCTTACTTCTCACTTAGGACACAATGTTGGCTTAGGGGGAGGGGTTGGTGGGCAGGTTCGCAGAAGCGTTTAATGATCCTGAAAGGGTAGGAGAATCTGTCATTTCCGTCTGTAAAAAGAACCAAAAGGGCTAACGGATGAATTTTATGGCTGTGAAAAAGACGAAAAAACGTTCTTGTTGTGTGATTTAGTCATATTTTAAAGACAGTACATTTACAGCAGTTGAAAGGGATAGAAAGCTATGAATTAGGTATTCGAAAGGGGTACCATTTATCAATAAAAGGTATACGAAAAAGGCTCGTTTTCTGACAAAAATGGTATATAAAACGTCAAGGGATTGGACCTCGGGGCAGAGCTTCCTCGTATCAAACTTGTTTGAGTACCCCATCGGGCCTATAGCAGTACCACTGAACGATATGGCGTGACTTAACTAAAGTGACAGAACTGTTTAAAATAAAGAAGCGTGAGATAACGTAACAGAACCATTTGAAATAGGAAGACTTCAAAAAAGAACACCCCGTCCCTCGCCCATTGTTGAGAAGCTGTGGTAATGCCCCAAGCAAAAACATATTTACAATTATTTTCTTTTTCAGGTTTGTAAATGCTCAAGTGTACTTCGGTGTGTCTTTAGGATCCGTTTTGCTGGGTGGTAACATGTATCTAAATTTTTTTCTCACCTCGCTGGTCGAGATTCCTGGAAATGCTTTCGCCATCTATGCTATGAACAGGTTAGCAAATTTAACCAATTCCATTTTAAAAGCGTTGTGTTGAAAACTGTCGTGGATTATCGTAACGAAAGAAATCCATCTATCAAGCGAGGGAAAAAGGTTGTGATAGAGACATGATTAGTTGATTTTTCAGAAATTGTTGGCTCCAACGTTTTTGGCCAAAGTGCTTGCGAAATCTATATTAGTTGTAAAAGGCTCTAACTGAATTAATCTTGTCTTTAAAGAGGCTGTGCTTTCAACTACATTTTGTTATTAACGCCAATTATGAGTCCTTATTCGCTATGAAACTTCAAAAATTACCTGTGAACGACAAAATTACCGCTTAATATGAAACAAATATGTCTCTAACTTTACAAACAACAAAAATGAACTTAGAAAAACAGTTAGGCTATCAAGTTTTCAAAAACCACAATTGCAATCCTCAAATTTCATCCAAACCCTGAGATCATGGGGCGGCTCGGTCTCAAAAAAATTTTTTTGGCCCTTCGGGCCTCATTTACAGGCCTCATTTTGGTCTAAAAATAAGAAGGGGCCCGGGTCCCACGGACCCTTCCCGTGGATCTGCCACTGAACTGTATCCAAGCACGTGAAAACACATGTATCTATAGATAAGTGCAAGCAGGTAGATAATCTCTACTAAGCGCAGACAGTGGAAAATAGCAATTTTTGTCTGATTTCTTTGATAGGTTTGGACGAAAGAAAGTGGTTGTTATTGGTTTAGTTGTGGCGGCCATAGCTAATTTAATAGTAACTGTCATTCCAAACGACAGTGAAAACACAGGTGAGACAAGTTGCTTTGTTTCAACTCTATAGGTCATTTCCAATTTCCAAAAACTCTCACCCTCACAACGAGGCTAAGTCCAAAACTTTCGTTCTGAAGAGGAGCTTTATTTGCATGAGAATATAAAATCATTTTCATATGAATGGCTTCGTGCTTTGCCTCGCGAAATGGCTTATTAGATGTATATTTACATTTATCCTACATATTTATAAAAGGGTTTTTGTCAAGAATTAATTTTGAAAATTCTTTGTTTTCTTTCTTGTCTAGGGTTTGTAGCAGGTCGTATCATCTTCGCGATGATTGGCAAATTTTCTGTCATGAATTCCTTCGACGCTATATTTGTGTTCTCTGCAGAGTTGTTCCCTACAGTGGTAAGGTAAGGGGATTTCTTCAACCTCTTCCCAGACATCGTCCCCAGGGTCTTCTCGTTTTCCTAACGAGAAAATCCTAGGGACGAGGTGTTTTTCAAAGCACTCAGACGCGTGTACAAAGATCATTTCCCCGCGGTGGAGAGAGAAATTCGAAATCTGCAACGCCTGATTTGTTCTTCACTCAACTGGACTGTTAATAATGTCCCCAAAACTAATGCACCCTTAACCTAAACATTTGTCAGACATGACTGAAATGGTTGAGCAATTAACACACCGTCGAATTTTAAGGTAAGTTATCAGATCTTAAAGCCCAATACACACCAGCGGCGGATCCAGGGGAGGGATCCGGTTTATTTCAAGACCAAACTGAGGCCCAAAGGGCCGAAAAAATTCTTTTTGAGACCCCCCCTCCCTTATCTCGGGTCTGGGTGACCGTCCCCCCCCCTTATCTGGATCCGCCACTGCACACCAATTTGACAGAGAACAGAATGGAAAATTGCAGTTTTTAAAATATTCTCCCGGCCAACAAGATCGAAATAGACAACGGCCACTAAGATTGAAGAGAGAAATTAAGTGTCAAGACTCATCTAAAGGATCTGCCTTGCTGTCTTCTTCTAGAAATGTGGGACTTGGTACTTCTTCTGCTGCCGGAAGAGTTGGTTCTATAACATCTCCGTTCGTCATCTGGCTGGTATGTAAAAGAATGATTACATCATATAACAACAGCTGTCACTATCTTTTAATGCTGTAAAATTAAGCCTAGTTACACATCTGATTACTGTTACATTATCGCCGACTGGTTAGCTTCATTGGTTTGCAATTGGTACCAGACAACAGAGCGATACTCCCTGGTTCTATTCCCGGTCTGACCAACACTCGGATCTTAGATATCTGAGGAGAATGTGCTGTTTTCTTTCACATCATCGAACGGTTAGACCTTCTAGTCATGTCGAATAAGGACGAAAAAATATATATCCGTTTCACTGTACTCCTGAACTTGCCGTAGAGTTCCGAAAGTAGAAGCCCTCGTTACTTTTGGAATTTGCAGGCTTAAGAGACCGCTCCTTTTGGGTGGTCGTTACTTTCGGATAGCCGTTATTTTCGGGTAGCTAAAATATGTCAGTAATGAAGAAAAACGTTGAACGCGATCGCTCAATATTGCAGCATGCCGTAATGTTGATTTAATTTGTAATGAATTGTCACTTTTCCATAACTTTAATCACGTATTCGACGTTCATGCGATGGTCGTGTACTGTAGGATACCGTACTAAGCTGTTCCATCTGCGTGTCGCTTGAGGGAACGCAGTTTCTCTTTCAAAGTCTTCCTCTGCTCCGTGTGTTCTTTCAGTCTTGACGAAGACATCGTACATGCAAGGAATCTCTAGTCCTCCTCCCTGAACCCAAACTCCTTCCGATGCACTCCTTGTTTGTCCCGATACCTCGCATGTAGTTTATATGTTCCCATCCACATATTGCGTCACAAAGAGCCAAAATAGGGAATGTCTCAAAAATGGCCGTTACTTTCGGGAATTACTAGAAACGTTCGAAAATTAGCCTCACTTTCGGGTAGCCGCAACTTTCGTTGGGGGGGGGGGGGGGCTATTTTCGGAACTCTACAACGGCTACAATAATCTGACTCTATGGGACGTAAAAGGACCACCTAAGACTGAACAAATATCTGGCAGTGACATGTGCCTCCCTTGCTTTTGGGTGTCTAGTTTATAGATTGAGGTCCCGCATCACAGCAGAGCTGTGCGGCTCTGGCAGCGCCTGGTGGTCTCTAGCACCTTACCGTTTGTTCTTGGGCGAAAAGGGAAACTCAGTTTTATTTAAAAAAAAATCATGTTTTGCACCCTGGATGGTTCAGAGCACTGACCTTCCCTCAGGTGTTCTTAGAGCACATTCTGATAACGATACCCCTTGATCCTCCTTCAAACGCCGCAATGGCTGCCTGTAAACAAAGTATGATTATAATCATGAGTAATGGGGACTGTATACTGTGTTCTCGCTCGAAAAAAATCATGTGCTGTCACCCTGGCTTGTTCAGAGCACCGACCTCCCCTCAGGCGTTCTTAGAGCACATTCTGACAACGATAACTCCTTGATCCTCCTTCAGAAGCCGCAATGGCTGCCTGTAAACAAAGTTTGACTTTTATTACGAGTAATGGTGACTGTGGTAATATCGTTTAATGAGTATTTGTCCTGAGTATGATCCCTTCACTTCATATCACGGAGTATTCACGTGAAGTACTTTACCGTGTTATCGTTCGAAATGGGTTCGATAGACCCTCCAAGTAATTAAGTTGAGGAGGGTCAATTCGTCGGATATTTGAATGAATGAAAGAAAACACTCACCATGACATGGCAACTTTTGACACTTAACACGTTACAACTTAAAACTGTTTGTAGTTCTTTGATTCCGGCCGGATGAAAAAAACGTCGTTTTACACGTTAATTCAAGTGCATGTTCAAAGTGATTTTAAGCGTCGATCATTAATCTTACATCGGCCTCTCGTGGGAAAAATAGGTCGAAACTATAAATAAAGCTTCGCTTTCTTCTCTCGATCTTGATCTAGTAAGTGCCTTTCTTTAAAAAAAAGCGTAAGAATATGCAAGAAGAAGAATTGTGAGGGAGCTTTTAACCAGTTTGATTCATCAAAAACTCTCAAAACTAAGAAGCAAATATTTATCGGCATAGAGTACGAGTAATGCGTCCCTTGTCCTTTTCTAAATACAGTGGAACCTCTCCTTTGGGACACGTCTATTCAAGGGACACCTCCATTCAGGGGACACAAGATTTGATCCCTGAAAAACGTCCACATAATCTTTGAATCTGTTACCTCTATTGAAGGGACATATCTATTCAGGGGAAAGGGACACGTTTATTTGGTCCCGAAAACTGGGTTTGACTCAATTCAGGGGACACCTTAGCACTCAAAACATGACTGACCACAAAGAGAGTTGACATTTTTAATAGTACACTAATAACAATTATGGGAGCTTTCAAAAACTGAACTATCTCACTTAAATTGATGTAATCCACTCGAGGGAATTCAACACATAATGTCGCAGAGATGAGTTAATGATTGTTTTGTATACTGTCTTTGTTGGTTTATTATTAACAAACCCCAGCCCAACCTCTATTCACTACAGTCAACTCCCTTTAAAGCGGACACTGTAGGGACCTCTAGTTAGTGTCCTCTTTAGCGAGAGTCCGTAATAGCGGGATTTTATTTCAGTCAAACGTCTGTAATTATTTTTGCCTGTGATTTAGTTGCTTTCCGTATTAATGGGGTGTCCGTTATAGCGGGGTGTCCCCAAGGAGAAAGTGGACTGTATTCAGGGGACATCTCTATTCAAGGAACACTTGCCTTGGTCCCGAGGGTGTCCCCTGAACAGAGATTCCACTGTACTGATATTAATTGTTTACCACACTGGGCAGGCAGAGATGGACCGGCTACAAACTGTATTTTGCTTTACCAGGCTACCTATATGACTCAGTTACCCTACATTATCATGGCCATCGACGCCTTTATTGCAGGAGTACTCTGCTTACTCCTGCCCGAGACTAACAAGGAACCAACAGCAGAGACACTATCAAGTGAGTCACCTACTGCTCTACTGAAGCTGGATAACGACGATGAAGAAGAAAACACCGAGAAATAGAAAGAAGTGTGATGTCACATTACTATGGCAACAAAATTTCTGGATCACAACTATAGGAAGCTTACTGAAAGTAACGAAGACCGCGCGACGGCGACGGCAACGAGAACGGCAAAAAAGCAATAGATTTGGATTAGCAAAACAACAACTTTGCACGTGCATCACGCTTTTTTGTACATTTCTTAGCCGTCGTTGCACGACTGCAACTTGAAACTTCCCGTTTTATAGAGTGGGTGAACACAGCACAAACATTTTCTTTTTCTTGACGTAGGTACGGTCCTTTCGGATTAAACCCCAGAAAATTTCGCCAACATTTGACAAATTAAAAGAAAGTGAACAAGATCTATGTAGTGTGGAACAGTGCGAATTCACTTTTAAGTGACGTTTTCGTTTTGTTGTCATCCGGAAATTTTGCTACCATGGCAACATGACGCAACGACTTCTCTTTATTGTCAGTCATATAAAGTTTAGTAGCAGCCCAAGGCAGGATGGGGTGGGGAATCGGAGAAAGGAAGGTTAAGGTTGGGTTATCCTCAACATTGCAGTGCTTGTCAAGGTCAAGGGGAAGGCGGGGGGCGGGGGGCGGGTGGGGGGGTTGGGGTGAAAAAAACAAAATGCTTTGTTTATATTGAGTGTGCTCTTAGGAGTTATAGCTAATTCTCAAGCACTCTATTCAGACAGTTTGAAACAAAGAATTTAAGTCGAACATCAGGAATACGACCGAATAAAAATCCCCAACTGGCAGGACGTACCCAGTTGGCTATTTACAAGCGTAAGTAATATAACACGCTGTGCGGACCTTGATCTTTTATCAGAGATGGACATTCCTGAGTGATAGGCTCCTTAAAAATATACCTCTACTTTACCCTTCAACTCTTCGATATAAAATACTACAGAAGAAAATATAGGAAGGGACATGAGTCCTCCCTTTAGAGATCTGTTAAAGCAGAATTCTATAACTACATGGTATACAATTCTATAACACTTACTTTTACAACTAATTTAACTTCAGTATATGACAGAGTGATGCAGTTTTCGTTTCGCTTTTCTAGCGAGGAGGCTGTGACATAGTGTAAATTAAATGTAGACACGGCGTAGTTTTGAGTAATTTGTTAAAAGACGTCATTCGTCATTTAAGCTGTTTCTATAATATATGTTCGTAATATACTAAGCGTTTCTTACATTTTTATAACAAAAGTAGTGTAACTTCATTTTGTACGAAAAGTAACAAAAAAAATAATATAAAACAAGAGAGAATGAGCCCATTCTCTCTTGTATAAAATCAAATGATTGCTTTCAATGAAATAACTTTACTTCCTCAAAACTATTGAGGATATGAAGACACTTAAATGATACTGAAACTGTTTTTTTTTTTCTGTTCTCCAGAAGACTACTGAATGTTAGGCCAAGTAAAGAAATGTTTCTCATCCCCGCCCTCTTCATTTTTGGGGGCCGCCTCCCTTTTTTTATTATTTGTTCTTGGAAAAGTTGGAACGAACAAGAACCATGCAATAATTTTTTAAACACAATTTTTCTACACTCTTACGTTGCAGGCCTTACTTTTCATAAAACGAAGTTCTATATTGACCTTTTTAACGCCACCTACCTATTGAGACATATTGTATGACGCATCACGTTGTTTAAAACATATTTTGAAATAACCAAAATGTGTGTTTAAACAATATCTGACGTTTCATTTATTTATATTCGACCGAATTAAATTAAACATTGACGTATGCCATGAATAAGCGATAAAAAGAGATGGGCAAGGATAGATCCTTGGACAACACCACAACTTATTTTGGCTTTATTTGAAAAGTCGCAAATAACAACAACAAAAAAAAAACCGCCCGCTTTTTTTTTTTTTAATAGAAATCCGGACGAGAAGCATTTTTTTTACTTGGCCTTATCGCACATGGTTTAAAGTTTATACTCGATCGTAGAGGAGTCTTTTAATTAGACCCATGGTCTTCTTGATAACCACACTTTGAGAATCATGCAGACTCCTTCTCTGCATCATCCATGAGCTTTTCTTTCATTTCCTCGACATCATTTTTGCTGAAAGTTCCCTGCAACGGGAAAGAGATGTTGTTGGTTCGTTGTACTTGTGGTGAAATGATAAAGATAGAATGTAGGACTTAAGTTTCGAAGTAACACCTCTAAAAAAGACCTACTGAGATTCATATTGATATCAAACCATATAAGGAATTGCAATTTGCTAACTGGGCTTTAGTGACAGGAAAATCAATGTTTTAAACTTTAAAAAGAATTCAACTCCCACAGGATTTCTTTAGAACGCCATCATTGTTCTGGAACACCAATACGGCCGCCGTGACGTCACGTAAAACGCTCTCTAGTGCACTTCACCAATATCGACTTCACGTTAGAAAAATGAAGTATACATTTTATTTTTCAGTTTTTTCCCCGGTGCAAATTTTTCCTTCCTTTGTTCTGAACTTATTATCATGCATTAACATATCCAAAAACAAAGGCAATTACCTGCAATTCTATAGATTCTTTTGTGTCCTCTTCCGAGTCCATGGTTTCAGCGGTTGGCATTCCCTTTGTCTCGGGTAGTGTCATGCATAGCAGACCTGCCAGTAACGCATTACCTCCCATAATGGCATACGGTAGGAGTGGATGCACGAGGCGCTGTGGAAAAAAGGACAATTTCGAAAATTTTTTTTTTTTCAGGACAGCCAATATTTACCCGTTTTATGTGTGCTCTTCGAGTCTGCGCAACGCTCGATCGTTCAGTTGGACAGGCACTATTTTTAAACTCCATATCATGGCGCACTGATAACTAAAAATGATACTTTGAAAAAAGCTGTTTTGGGAGAGGAGGTAATTGAAAAAGCCAGGGGTAACGGTTACTAAGTTATCTTAAAATTCAATTGCACTACGAATACGAGTTTTCAAATTATGTTTGTGCCTTAGTTGATCACTTATCACATCACTCTTATACAATATACGTAACGTTACTCCATATGTTGGTCAGCAAAGGGAAAGGGCTAAAGTTATCTCAGGTCGTTCAAGTACTTGCTTTAATTTAACAATCTAAGGCTCACTATCTATTACACCAGTTTGCCTTATATTTCACCATGTTTTCATTTATTCATCCTTTGTTTTAAAACGGTATTTAAAGTACAAAAGTCGTTTGATACCAGCTTAAACACCATTTGAGACAGTAGCTATCTCATAGAAAAAACAAATCATGTTTTCTTTGGGTTTAAAGATGTTTTCTTTTGCATGTTTTGTTTCACTACTCACCAGATGAATAATGTAGGGTGAGGCAAATGAGCCAATCCTAGCGAGTGATGTTGATGACCCCATACCTATGTTCCTACAGAAAATAATGGGAATGATCAACTTTACATACACGCATACGCTTATTTCATTTTCCCTGTTAAGGGTGCGGCGCTTATTCGAGAAGGCGCTTATCTCAACTATGGGTAAAACACTGAGGGGAATATATAGAGACAGTTGGTCGTACTTTTGTTTCTCAAGCGATATGGTTTTGATATTTCTTGTATCAGGCGCCGTAATAAAGGTGGGGCGTTTATTTGTAAAACCCAAATTAGCACCGCGGCGCTTATCAAATTGTTTTCGGTAAAAGGTGCGGGACTTATTCGAGCAGCGACGCTTATTCGAGTAGCGCGCTTAATCAATCAGTTACGGTACATATTATAATGCCTCATGAGTGGTTGAGAGTTGGGGATATTGAAATTACTATGGGAACAAGCAACGATAACGAAACAACTGCTGCTCGTTTAGCATCATAATGCCCTCGAACAGAGGCTATATTTTCGCGGTGTGAACTGGCGTACTTTTCGTATGCTAGTTAACACCGCGAAAATGTAGCCTCTGCTCTCACGGTAGGATAAAAAACGTAGCAAAGGTGAAATAATTATCGACACCTGATCACGGTAGGGAAGAGTTCTGCAGCATACACATAGACAGCATCAAATGAGATGAACACAAAAAACTTGGCTGATATGGCCATGATGATACGACCCGCCATGAAACCTGAAGATAGCAAATGAACTACCTTAAAAAAATGGTTATATTTTTCAGTCCTTCGTTAGATTACGAGCAGTTTCTCTTTTATCTTGGTCCGTCGAGTAAAACGCGCGAGACACGCAAATGACCACGCGCGTGACTGAAGGCGCGCCCCGTCTTCTCGTGTCTCGCGGCTTCGTTCATCGCCACTCGCGCGCGCGTGCACTCCGTTTGCAGTCTAGTCCTTCGTTAGAGTTATAAAAATCATTCAGAATTATTAAGAGAAGTTAGAAAACATTTCTACCTTTGTCTGCACCTGGGTCGTACATTGTACAGAGTACGGCCCCTACAGAAGCGAAGGAAGCAAGTATCATGTTGTAAACAAGTGGCTTTTTGCGACCAAACCTAAGGCGAGAAAAAGGGAAATAAGAAGGAAAAACAACAACGACAACAAAAAACATTCTTGTGCTGACGCACTAATGGAAAACTGCCAGAAGAAAGCTGTCAGTCACGGTTATTTTTTGGTACAATACTTCAGGCTTTTAAGAAAAAAATTCTGCCGTTTCTTTTTAGCAAGGTACCCACAATCTAGGATGTCGTTCCTGTATCCAAACGTCCAATATCGTCATGCATCATCCTTATTAGTAAAATCCAACCTGTGGTCTATTATACATGCTGCATTCTGATTGCTTTAACTACTACTAGGTTATATGTTATAGCCCACTTATAGCGAAAAGCGACGGCTTTGAAAACCAAAACAATGGCTTCAAGTCTAGCTTTAACTAGCTAAAGTTGTTTTATCTCGATATTTTTGACCAGCTAGTTGGATTTTACTCACCCTCGTGGCCTCTGAGTCAATAGCCCATTCGGTTTGATTCAGAGCCCATTTGGGCTCGAGGAGTAATTGTTAAATATCGACACTTTGGCGTAAACTTCAGAATGCCCGGCCACTTGTCGGAACGCTTTAAAGAACGACGTATAACACAATAGTTCCTTTAGTTAATCAACGAGATACAAACATGGAGCTGAGGCTGGATATTTTGAAGTTTAGCTTCTTTGGCTTTGTTCACACGATACAGAATAGCTTTTCGTGTGAACGGCAACGGCACAGAACTGAAAAAAGTAGTTCACACGAATCGAATCATCATGCCCTAGCGGTTGGCCGAGAGGGTTTGATTAACTAAGCCGTCTGAGTGGATTCCAACCCTTGCTCCCACTTATTCACTTCCGCTGCGGTCCGAATACTGTTTACACTGCGCCTGGGCCAAATAGTGGCACAGAACCTATCTAATATGTAAAGCTCCTTTTTCGAGATCGGCGCGGTGTCACTTCGCTTCGTTACAGAAATCGCGTCGAAATCACCGTTCTTATGTGCGAACAGAGCCCCTATCCGGTATAGTTTTCGTGCTGGCGCAAAAGGAACCCGTTGTAGTGAGAAAATAGCCCATCGCGCAGAATGCCTATTGTTCTCGGGACATTTACTTACAGTCGAGCTAGAATCATAGGTCTGTAATATTACAGGTGAAGCGTGAACTGAATCGCTTTCATTGGTTGAAGTCTGCGCAGTCTTTCCCTTGTAGCGATATTACCGCCTTGCAAAGAGCAATTTTCAAGTGCAGAGGGATAGTTCTACTACGTAAAACGTATATTTCTTTTGCTTAAATCACTGATATATCATTCATTTTCAATATTCCGTCCGTGGTTTTGTAATTTTGGAGCTAACGAAGTCGGGCGAATGGGTTTTATCAACGCTTGTGGACCAAAAGAGGCCCTTTCTTCTCTTACTCAGAGCTTATTGAAAGCGCTCGTGCCTTCGAATTTGCCGCTTCGGCGGTCATGAATAGCTGATGATGTCCACTCATTCTGCGCGTTGCATTTTTGCGCTCAGGGCTCACCTGCCTATGGACCAGATGCCAACATAGTTGGCGGGGATTTCCACGATGGAGGCCAGGAAGAAATTCAAATATATATTACCGCCAAGTGTTGGAGTACTGAATGATACACCGTAATAGACCATTCCGTTTACAAACCTAGAATACAGAGAGGAGAATACATTATAGCTAGCAATTGTCCTTGTCAGCGACAGCATTCATCACGTTAGTATTCCTGTGGCACTTACCAGGCATACCAGGATATAAGTGTCCTGTGACACATCTTTTTAGTTCGAAACAAATCCCTAACATCACCCAACTGTTGAACTTTCCCTTCAGCACTCGGGTTATAAAGAGGCTCTTCCGGGTACTCCTTTTTGTTAGTAGCAGCGATGTTTCGCAATATACTCTCAGTTTCCTTGATGTTTCCCTTCAGCAACAAATATCTCGTAGATTCTGGGACATACCTTAAAAAGAATGAACAAGAAACCAGTGTTCTTATAGACTTCGAACATTCAAACCTATGTTCTTTCGATAAAAAGGCTTTTCTTGCCAATATTCAGTTTTTTTATCTGTTCCGGTTCTGGCAGCTTCTCGGCGAGTGGCATTTTTGGATGTTTCATGGCGTTGCAGAAAATATTGTTAGTTCGCTTTTGTTTTGTAATGTGATTATTGATCATTGTCTTTTAAACAAAACTTTTGTATTTCACTTCCCCACTGATGAAGCACTTCAATTTCTATAGAAAAAACCCCTTCATTTAAATTTTTGTGATTTTCACTGAACGGCTAATTTCTTTCAGACTCTAATAAAAGGTCAACCTCATTCCTAAGAGTCCAGCTGCCCCATCATTGACCATAGATATTGCAACTTGGTTGATAGAGACCCTGGGAAAAAGATAGGCTGAAGAACAGGCGCTTTTTTTCGCGTTTTTCAGGCGAGCACAAAGGAGACGTCGAGCGCTCTTCGTCCGCTTCGTGTTCGCCCAAAAAAACGCGAAAAAATAGCGCCTATTCTGCAGGCTAAGAAAGAGAAGGGTAACATTTTGTTGCACGCTGTCTAATTTAAATCTTTCTTGCTTTCCGACAACTGTAAACTATTTTGGACAAAGTATAGAGGTAAAAGAAGGATTGACCAGTAGGCCTAGAGCCGAGGAACGGTTAATACCTCCAAGCTATTATAATAGGCAGTCCCAAGGCAGCGCATATGATCGACAAGATTCGCCAGTCACGCACGCCATAAGCCAGTCCTGCTAAAAATACGAGAGCGAGGGTCCACGAGTACCATAATGACGTGCCAGCCACGTGACGATGTCTCCTACCCACAAACTCCGTCGCCATTACATAGATACCCATTCCACCACCACCTGGTTAGAAAATGAACATGTAACGTAACCCCAAAATCAAGAGTATGCTTTGATTGAACAAGAAATATTACTTTTCCGTAATTCAAGCGAAATATATTAGAAAAATGACACCCTATTGAAGGGCCAGAAACGAAAAGTGTTCACCATGTAAAAATGTTATTTGAGGAGGAGAAGTAGCATTGCTCAAAGCGTTTATTCTACTGTAGGAAACTCAAATAATATACAAGAAAATATAATTTAAAATAAAAAACGCTTTATCGCAATTGCTAAATGATTGTTTTGCAAACAGCGACACAAGACAGATGAAATGATGAGAAACGACATAACGATGGGTTGAAATGCGACAGCGACGAGGAAAATCACAAATACAATAGTAAAATTCCGAAAGCGGCATGGTCTCCTCTTCAATACGCCAAACGACCGCTTTGAAATTCAGACTTAGGGACATACCCGCTCTCCACTCCCCCCCCCTTTCCGTAAGATGAGACCCCACTTACCAATACACAAGCCGGTGCAAAGTCTGAAGACCAGAAAAAGCCAAAATATGTGCGGAAATGAAGCTACCAAGCCGAACACACTGGCCAAAAAACAGAAGATGACCAGCACAGGCTTGCGGCCAATTTTGTCGGATAACAGCCCACCAACAATTGCACCAACAAGCCATCCACCAAAGACAAGGGAAGTGGAGAGAGAGCTGAGAATTGCCTTGTCACAAACCAGGTCGAACTAGGATGGAAGTAATAGAAAAACAGATTTTAAAAACCTTCATTCTAGCAAAAAATTCTCGAATTTCTTTTCGTAACAAGTTAAAAAACGGTACTGGTACTGTCTCGTTCCCAGTCCTCTCAATATGGATCGCACGCGGAGAAGCGTGACCGAAGGAAGCGCGAGGAGTGATGGGAGAAGGAAAACGCAATTATATTCTGATTCGCTACCCTGCTCAAACGAATTTAAAACATTTATCATGTAATAAGCAACCACAATTGGGGTGTGTCAACACCAGCAGTGTGCGACTCTCGTATGCCTTCATCAACAAAATGGATGGGAATGATACAACAAACGGAATGAAAACTATGAAATGTAAAAAATACAGCAAGAAAAACCACCCCCACAAAACGATCTAAGCTATGCTCGTATAACAATGATTCGGTAAACGTGCTAAACCTTTCATATAGCAGCATGCAAAAACTTGGACGTCTAAGAGAAACTGATAACCCCTAATCACCGGGTATTTTATTTTGAGGGCGTAGCACAGGCGGCCTAGACTCACGTTACGAGGGAAGTACTCCTTACTTCGTTCTATGAAAGGAGTAACAGCGGTTACGCAATAAAGCCAAAAAAACAGTAAAACGACAAACAGACACCAAAACGCAGTGGAATACATTGCAGGTTAGTCTTTTTTATTCATTTCATTTAAGAAAAAGTAAGGTTTAGCGTTATTTAGAGTTCGCAGATCTCAGTAATATATTTCTCATACAAAGTCACTGATATTTTCAACGGTCGCCTGTAACGCGACACCGGCGCGTCACCTATGGTATGTAAATTACATTACACCCTTCCCTCGTAACGTGAGTTTGGGCCGCCTGTGGGCGTGGGGACGGTCGTAAGACGCGAATGAATATAAATGACAATAACTCAAATATATATAGCCTACCGTTAATGAAGCAATGGTAACAGCATACCATGCAACACCCCAAAGAAAGGGTTGCATAACCCATGATAAATACATTTCTCCTCTCTTTTCTCCTTCCCATCATCCCTCGCGCTCCCTCGTTATTAACCATGCTTCTCTCGTGGATATTAATAGGAGACTGAGAGACGACTGGGGACGAGTCAGATACTGGTGTGTAAAAATAATATGGATATAAAATTTCGCCTATTCTCGCTTCTAAATTTTCGGCCCGTTGCCATTTTGACGTCAATTGTTACCCAACCAATTGATGACATAAAATATTCAAACGGAATCATTGATTTTGTAAATTTACCCGAGTGACGACAGATGTAAAATCATCAGCAAACTTCCAAGCATCTCTTGGCATACTACAACGTCGGTCATCTGATGGCTTGAACGATCCAGTGAAGTTACAAGCACTGCTATTTCCCGTGCACATCCATCTTGGTTCAGCGGCGATGAAAGTGGGTACCATTATCTAGAAGATAGACAGTATGTTATATAAGAATCCTCTTTGTGACGCGCGAGCTTGAGATTCAACTTACAGTCGAAGGTCTCATAAGCGACCACCTCGGAAACTTGGAAATTGGTCGTAACTAGAGCTGGTCGCATGGTAAAACAATATAGGGTGGTCGCTTACGAGAGCTTCAGAAACTCATTAATAATTCGTAAGAGGTCACTACGGAAACGAACTTGAACTTTTACAAATACAATACTGCACTGTACAAGATCTTTATAAACAAACCATTAACGCTTTGGCAGTGTTGATTTATATGAATAAGACCCTGAGTGGTTGCTTGTGGTTGCGGTCGCTTAAGAGAGTTTTTCATTACAAAGTTTAAGTCACAGTTCAAATGGGGTTTCACTAAATTGGTCTTTACTAAAGCTGGTCGCTTATGAAACTGGTCACAAGGAGAGCTTCGACTGTATTGGTAGGGAAATTTATATTTTTCCCATAACTGATGTCTGTAGGGCTTGTGTTGTACTCAAGTCACTTAAGGGATTTCATCTACAGCTCGAACATTAGAGCCACCTTATACAGATAACAGCATAGCAAACGGTACTACAGGAAAATGCTGCCCAGTAGCTTTCATTTGAATGGTCGCAATATAGGATTTCATCCACGGCGTGTCAAAAGTAGGAACCACCTTGTGCAATGTAATAAACAGTACCACAGGTAAGAACTTTTCAGTAGCCATCATTTCAATGGTCATGCTTTATGATTTTCTTAGCAGAATGAAAAGTTAAAGTGCCCATATCTTAAAAAATATATTTTTGATTGAACGTACATGTAACTATGAGAACCTCTGCTTTAAAAAATGGTGATTTGAACACAAGTACGTGTTTTTTTAGAATTTTTTGGAGACATTTAATGTTACCCTTGGCACTCCACTCGGCTTAGTCTTCTCTCGGACACTCTCGGACACAAAGGAGAAATGACTTTAAGATGTGACATAGATTAACGAACTATGATGTAAATTAAGGAACAAGTAACTTTTGATACAAGTAATTAAGGTAGCCCGAACCTCTTCCGCTATTTGTGTACCCTGGATGCCAGAGGCTTTTCATGCGCGGTTTCCGGTTTCGGTCAAGTCTTTTTAAGTGACCCGCGCAAAAAGCTTCGCCGCTCGTATTTTCGGCCTTCGGCCGAACACGTGTCGCCTGTGGCCGATGAAACGACCCACCAAACGAAGCTCCCCATCGCTCGCGAGAAAAAACCTCTGGTACTCAGGGTACTATTTGCGCGTTTACATTCACAAATGTATTAGCCTATCATTTTAACATTAAATTTGACCAACATTTTGTGGAGCAAGTTCTACGGTCACGATTACCACCAAACTTGCAGATATAAAACTATATAGCTCTGAGGCTTTTTTGCTGAATTTAGGGGAAAATCTGTCGCGGATTTCGGAGTTTTTTTTTGTAAAAACGAGGTGTTCAATAGAGGTCGATATCCAGTAGTCCAGTCCCTCACATGACCCTCTAATTTCAGTGGTCGACTAAAACAATATTGCCTTTTGTTTACCAGAAAATCAATAACATCTTAGAAATCTTTGCTGCCGAAAAACACGCGATTCAAAAACATGACCAACACAAATATAAATAGGTTCAGACTACCTTAAGTGCGAATTTTTAGAAACGTTTTTTTCAAACAACAAATTGAAACATATTTTAAAAGATGAAAAGATACGATATCAAATGCAAGATACGATCTCACATCACATTCTTACCTGGAGAGTCATAGCGAACTCTATGTAGCTTAGAATGAATATCAGACGAAGCTGGTATAGACCCAAGCTCCCAATTCTCTCCAGTATGTCGTCCACGGTTAACGCCATTTTTCAAGGGGAAAAAAGGCTTAGGGAATGAGCAAACGGTGCTGACAAAATTTCAAAGAAATTACCTGAAAAAGAGAGACACCCATTAGATGGAGTGAAACGCGACGAATTTAACACGCATTTTATTGGCACATCTCTCATAATAGGCCTTGTTTGCCACCCAATATTCTGCGTAAGAATTGTTTTTTAATATCTCTTGGGTATTGAGAGGAGAAGTCGTTATGTCACGTTGCCATGGTAGCAAAATTTTTGGATGACAACAAACCGAAAAAGTCACTGAAATGTATATTCCCACTATTTTAAACTTCACCGATTTTGTTTAATTTCATTTAATTTGGCAAATCTTGGCGAAATTTTCTTTGGGACCGAATCTATCGTTAGCTAAGTTGGGAAAAGAATGCATTAATTTTTGTGTTGTGTTCGCCTACTCGATAAAGCGGGCTCGTGAAATTAGGAAGTTCCTTGTCGTGGTGGTGCAACGACGGAAAAGAAATGTACAAAATAGCGAGATGCACGTGCAAAGTTGTTGTTTGCTGTTAACATATTTTGTTATAGAGCGGTTTTCACTTGACTGTCGAAAGGGATTGGTTTTGGTTTTGGTTTTGGTTTTACTACGCCCTTTGGTTGGCTAGTGTATTTTACTTTGGTTTTGGTTTTACGACAGTCAGGTGAAAACCGCTCTATTCCTAGACTTTCACTCAACTAAACAGGGACTGCCATTGGTTGATTCTTGGTCACGTGGCCTTGATTAAAATCAAATGTATCCCGATCGTGATACATTAAACAATGTATCCCGCTCGGGATACATTGCAGCACGTGATCAAAGCATTGTGGAAAGTGGTGTGACAGAAGGCGGGAAAAACACCGCCAGGTCCAGCCAGTTTTCTTTTTCGTGAATGAACACAACAACACAAAGACGAAGCGTCAGGCTAAAAAGCAACGATTTTTAAAGTTATCCCAGAAGTTCCCAGAAGAAAAAACAGCAGCTAGTGGAGGAAAAAGATGCAGATAATATGAGGAAAGTACTTTTGTTTGTAAATAATTCATTCAGTGGTTTTGAGAATTAAATTTGTGTTGTTATAAGTACCGAGTCGACTGTTTTGGTTCGCTCCAGTTATTCTTTTGTTGCTGTTGAAGTGAAAGTCTAGAAATATAACAAAACACTTAATGTCAGGTCCCTCGGGAAACCAGTTAGTTTTGTTTTCCCTCGAGTCCTGATGTTTCCCTCGACTTCGTCTCGGGAAACATCAGGACTCTTGGGAAAACAAAACTAACTGTTTCCCTCGGAATCTGACATTAAGTGTATAATGTTTTGCTGTTCTCATTGCCGTCGCCATCGTCGTTGGTTTTGTTGTCATCCAGAAATAGTGCTACCATAGTAACATGACGTCACACTTCTCCTCTCTATTACAGTCGTCCCAAGGGAAATTGAAGACAATGCTGGGAGATGTGCATATGGTGGGTGAATGGAAGAATTTACCGTAAGTCCTCTATATTACGCCTCCTCGGGGACTTGTATAATTCAAACACATTTGAGGGAGGGGCTTAACAGAGACGCGGGGCTTATTTAAGTTAACAAAGACGATTGTATCAGTTCTCCATAAAGAAAAAAAAAGGTGGAAAAGCTCAAGTACAAGAAGTTGGAGGTTATCCAGCCGAGGATAAAAAAGAATCCGAACTTCCAGCTGTTGAATATACCATCCTGGATCAGTCCACACGAAGTTTTACAGTCGAAATTGATTAATACAGTCTACCATTTATTAGTGAAGAATAATTAGGGGAGGGGAGGGGGGTTTAAAACAGAGTGGGGGGAGTTATTGGCTTTCTTCTCCCGAAAAGGCGTGGCGGGGGGGGGAGGTACGCTAATTAGAGAGAGGGGAAGGGATGCGAAAGAGAAGAAAGAGACAAGAAAAAGTGTTTTGGTGTCTCTCCCACAGACTCACTTTCCATTTTTCACCCTCTCTCCGGTACTTTCGTTTAACTGCTCGCGTTCTTGACTAACGCAAAAAAGGCTGTTTTGTAGTCTATCGAGCTTGAGGAACTTGAGTCCAAATTTTCTTTCCTTTGAGGATCGTTAAGGGTATCAAAAACGTATCCGTGGAGAAAAAGAGAGCATTCACATGGAAAGACACGGCGAAATAGGAGGGTTAAACGGGGGTCTAATGTCTTGTTATTCCAGTAATATGAAGCTGTTGAGAGGATTTTCCAACAAGTACACTATGGAATGTAAACAGTTCTTCGAACAGAAATAACGATGCTTTCAAACCCGTTTGCGAAGTCGTAGTGGTTTTGATTACCAGAGACCAGCCGGAATTGCGACTGGTTTTCACACCAATACTTGCTCAACGTCCACAGTTTGCAGGAAACCACTCGCAAAAGTCATCTCCTCAGTCCTAAGTTTGAGCTGTGTGGGCCTTGAAATCAAATTGCGAGTTATCTTAATTAAAAGCTACTGAAATGATTAATCAAACCGGCCTAAGATGATTGTTCAGACGACATTTCATGTGTTAGAAGTAAGGATTAGTATGTATGTAGGCCGATCGGAAGTTATACAAGCCATAAAATTCTTGACGGGTCGTACCACGGTCTTTTGAAATCCGGAGCTCTTAACGTTTAGACCGATCTCCTGTAAACTTACTCATTCTGGTCTGAACCGTTCCGGTCTACAGGCTCTAATTTCACCCTGGTCTCACGAGGACCTTACACAACAAGATACGGGTGGAATTTGTTTACAGATCAACAGTATTTTGCTTACCCGTCGGAACATTTTTTTTCTGGCTCCTTGTAAAAGGCCTTGGAACCCGTCGTGTATGGTCATCTCTTGTGTTCACACATTGCATTTCTCAAACCTAGCTACCGATAACCTCCATAATACATTAAAAAATGTTCAACAAGTTGTTTCTTCTTTCAGATGCCAGAGCTGAATCTGAAAGTGGCGGAAGATAGAAATGTTCTGTTTGGAGCGATAATTTTTAGCAGGTGGAATATGGTGGCATCATTAAAAATCTCTTCCGTAAATGAAAAAAAATTATTTCCACCAATTACAAATTGGAGATAATTCAAAACTTCTATCGATATTTTGTTTAAAAGTAAAGTGATGTTTACCTTATAAAACGCCCAATTACCCGAAGTACTGTTTGGAAAAGAAAGCTCCATCGTTTTAAAGAGAGACAAAAACCAACAGTTGAGGAATAATTGTGAACTAAAGGGCCTTTGCGACACCAGGTACTTAGGAAATACATAGTACAATGCCAGGGATAAAGCAACTAGAAGTAGCAATGGTACACAAAAGTAACTTGAGCGAACGTTTTTTATAAGATCTCATAAAATATACAAGAGGTTTTTATATTCTTCGAAATTCAAGCCACTTTATTTCGATAACGTTCTCTAGATCTATAAAGAGGAACGTCACAAAACCTCTTGAATGTCAAGTTTCTGATATACATGTACAGGTAATTCAAGCTTCTTGTAACATGTCTTCTGGTGGCGGCCTCAAAAATCGGGAAGAACAAAGTAAGAAGCTGGAAGTTACGGTTTAAAATGGAAGACGGGGTAGGGAAGGAGAGCCTTCCACGAGCACGGCGAACCGCATTGAAAATGAAGACTAAGGCCGGTACGGGCAGTGGGAAGTGACCTCTTTGCCAGGGTCTCTCTCGGGTAGAATAGAGACACTGGGGCAAGTTTGCTTTCTCCTCGGAGCTAAGAATAATACTATCTTGGTTAAGTACATGATAAAAGAGAATTGTGCAACTCATGAAAAGACCATCCTGTAACTGAAGCAGATTCTTCAGGGTCCGGCCAAGGATGAAGAAATTTTTGGCTGGATCTGAAAAATGCCACCCGAAAGTAAAGTTGTTTTTGGCGGTCGTTTTCGAGTCAACATGACCTTTTGGAGGCCACCTTTATTTGCCAGTTTTGTTCGTGATGTACGTGGCTGAGCTAAATTAAAAATAAATCAACACCTTACTTTCGTCACGAAATGGCAGTCACGTTATCTCAACGAGATTCAAAGAGACGATAATGAAATCTACTTTTGAGATTTACCGTGTAAAGCACCAATTCCCCATTCCCAAGAACATTCTGCGAACAATAAATGGAAATGTCCTCTTTTGCGATGTCTTAGAGTCTCTCCACGCCGAAACGCGAACATCTGACATGATCGGACGGAAAGAGCATCTAAAGCACTTAATCGTTTCTATCCTTCCGGTTCTGGGCTGGGTTGCATAAAGAAGCTTGAAAACGAAAACCTTTGTTTTTGGGGGGGGGGGGCAGTGGGGTCGGAGTTAGTAGAATAGGGGGAAGGGTAAGGAAGGCCCCTGCTATTTTGCAATCGCAAAGGGGCTGAAGATCAGGAAGGAAGTCAAGAGGAACAGGGGCGTTCGGTCGGGAATGCAATGTATGGGAGGTAGGAGGTTTGGACCCCCTTGTAACCCCCACCTCACTTGTTGCATAGGTTTTGCAGAGATAGCTCGGCAAAGGCGAATTAACAAGTGAAGATAACACGAGGAGAGCACGAGAAAATTCTCCAAAATACAAGGACCGATTTCAAAAAAGTCCCACTAAATGTAAACTTATGCAAAAGGACTCCAGGTTTCAATAAAACCACCAGGTCGAAAAAGCGGAACCACAACACCATAAAGACATGCAACGTTAATCCATTTTGTAAAGGTCTGTTTTTTTTTCACATTGCAAGAATATTTCGACCTCGACTGATGTTCACGTAAGAAATCTCTTGACTTGACAAGCCCCAACCTCCGGTCTTAAAGGGTAAATTTGAATGCGGCTCGATTTTAGAAGCTATTAATGGCAATCAGTTAGGTTTTTGAAGTCTTGGAAATGATGAAAAATGCACTCATTCCTGCAGTGCACTATATGTAGAAAGCGAGTCACACGTCGTCAACATAACAGGAATAATAACGAGGGATTGGGTTGCCTCTTCGACACCGGCTTCCCCATAACCTCGCCTTAGCAGGTCCGCTTTTGAACGTTAATAGCAAACTACAGAGATTGCTCGTAGTCCAAAGATATAAAATTTTAACTCACCTAAAGGGAGTCCGTGATCCTCTGTTTTGAAAGATTGCTATATATCTTATAATTTGACAACACTTGAACAATAAACCCAATAAACCTTGTCTACAGAGTTTGTTTTATCGGATAATCTGAGCACTTCAGGTTCCTACAATTGCGCGGACATTCTTTCCCTGTGAGTTATGATGGTCTGCAACAAATTTGAAAATCTTTGTCGTAAGATGGACAGGTTACAACTGGCAGTTATGCGAGCCTTTTAACATTCACGTGTTAGCCCAGTAAAGTGTTTACTGAATGAACAAGTCTTGTCATATCAATAGCTTTAAGAACAAGTTACAATTTACTCTTAAAAACAGAAATCTTCAGGTTAATATTGCCACTTACGTTTTGGCAAATAGACCAAAGTATCTCCTTTAGGATGTTTGATACTCTTCCGGGGTACTGTAACAAGTAGCAAAAAAAAGCGCCGGTACACCACCTCATGAACTGGTACACATATCTCCTTTTGTTCAATGTATGAAGGTTTCTTATGCGATAAGTCGCTGAAGGACAAGGGATTCAATTACTTGCTGCACCGTATGACGCAACTCTTCTCACTGCGGGCCTCAGGTATTTCACATTCCAATTAAAAGTCAGGATGCTTGACCGTTCGATAACACTTCCCTCGACTACCGAAAACAACATTTTTAATTGTGATAAGAACCCAAAAGACCACTTTCCTCCCGTTTTGAAATTTCCTTTTTTTTTTCATTATGATTTGTTTATACAACACAAACATCACTAAAATATCTGACCTGATCACCCCTAAAATGTCAATTTTGAGTACAAGTAAAACAACACCGTATTCGAGGACTTTTTCCCGCGCGGAGCTGTTAGCTTATCTACTAATATTGATTTCGGGGGATGTGGGGTTTGCTATTGCACATTAGCCAAGATTGTAGCTATCTCTTAGTGCATGGTGTTCAAAGTTCTTTTCCGTACTTTAAAGGGGTTATGCCATTGCGGGTTACACAGTTTTTGGTCAAAGTTGAGCTCAGACTATGACTAAACATTCTCCGTCAATTTTTCTTGTACTTGGATCTCTCTTAAAGAAAGATATCAAATGGCATTGACAAAAGGAAAACAAAACATTCATGATCGATTTTTGATCATTTTTGGATAACATAGGGAGTTTGAAAGTTGGCGCGACTTTTTACAAGTTGCAATCCCTTTCTATCCTGGCCGTGTACAATCATTGTTGAGTAGAAGTAAGAGTTATTTCAAGGAGACAAAACAATTATTTCAAGGTTTTCTTGAATTCCAATGCGTTTTTAGGGTTTTAGTTATACCATAAGCATCGTCACGTAGCTCCTTTTTGCCCCCTTTTTGTGGTACGTGGCGATATTTTTGTGGTATTACTTCAAAAATTCCCAAGTTATAAGCCACTCAGGAATTCCGGTCTGTCGCTTTATACAGCGACAAGACTTCACTCAGTCCCGTGTGTTAGTGACCCGTCTCTGCACAGCCTGGAAGTTCGCCAAACAGTTCAGGATTATTGGAGAAGACAATGAAAAACACAACATAATCAATGATCTCTAGCCCTGAAACAGTAGAACTTCGTGCCAAAACGAACAATGGAATTAGAGCTTTATTTCGCTACATGTAACAGAATCCAAAAGAGTCTTGGATTCTGTATTCCACGCTGTGAATTCAGGATTCTATGTCAATAAAACTTGGTTTTCGGATTCCAATTAGCCTGCAAATAAAGCCGTTTCTCCTTACCCCTCGCCGCTAGGGATGTTTCGCGAAACGTACTTAGCGGGGAGGGGCAAGGAGGAACGGTTGTATTCGCAGGCTAGATTCCAATCGTCAGTAGGATTCCGGATTCCTTCAGCTGTATTCCGGATTCCAAAGCCCGGAAATCCTCGATTCCTCAAGCAAAATAAATTCTCGGATTCTGGAATCCGGAGTCCCTTAAATAAAGCGAAGCTTTATTGTTCCTGACAAAGCGGAGGGAGGGGGTGGGGGGTGCGTGATTTAGGCAGCAAATTTGTCTGGGCTTTTAGCCAAGGGGAATTTGTTCTGGCCAACTGTCTTCCAGTCTCCAAACCTCTTAGTTACAGTCTCATATCGCAGCTCTTCCAGCTCCCATGGGCAAGAAAGCGACTTCCCCCTTTCTCCTTCCCAAGACACTCGTTCAACGATCTGACTTTCACCTACACCCTAATAACGAGCTGTTTGCAGACAGCATTTTTCACCAAGGCTATTCAAAAGCTTTTTTATTTATTCAGCATAAAGATGCAAAACTAACAGACTTGCTGGCTATGTAAGTTTTCCTGAATCGAATCTTCACCGGGTTCTTTTTTTTGTCGAAAGAAGAGAAAAGTCGTTCGGTTCTAGGCAACTTAAATGTCCCAGAGGGCCAGGGACAACATAGCAGAAACAGTGAGTCAAGCTATTATCGACAGCATCCGGAGGTCAGTGCAGTCCCGTCCAATTACTATCCCACACTTTATAGAAATTTAACCTGAGAAAACAGTCGACATTTCCGGCCACGCCACCACTGGTTTCCCCTCGTAATGACTTTGAGGAGCGAACGCGTAAATTCCATATACTGATAACGCGTCACTACCCAGATCTTGGTAGTGCTTCTGATTGGTCGTGCTGCGAGGGAAATTTGACTCAACCAATCAGAAGCACCACCCAGATCTCGGTAGTGACACGTCATCAGTACGGAATTTACGCGCTCGCTCCTCAACGTCATTACGAGAGGAAACCGGTGAGGGGTTGTTTTCTCAGGTTGTCAAAAATACAGAAAACCCTGAATTCATTAGCACCTCAAGCGACCCATTTACACTACTAAGTGGAATTTGTTTTTTTTTGTTGCTGCTTCATTAAAGAACGATCCTAAACGAATAAACATAAGTGATATTCGAGGCTGTTAAAAAGCAGTGTCATAACCAAGATTCGCGTGGTTTCCCGCTACTTCACCATTCGCTGTATTCGTATCTTCGTGCGTATTCCCTCCTTCATCTCGGTCTTGTCCAACATTGTTATTATCTTTATTCTTGTCTTTCACTTCTTCTTCTACTTCCTGCATTTTCTCATTCATTTTCGCCTCTTCCAATTGTTTCTCCTTTTCCTGTTCCTTTTCTTTTTCGTCGTTCAACACGATATCCTCCATGGCTACGTTCTGTATCCCCAGCTCTATACCTTGTTCAGAGTCCATTGTTTCAGCGGTTGGTAATCCCTTTGTCTCTGGTAATGTCATGCAGAGTATACTCGCAAGCAACGCCTTGGCTCCCATGATTCCGTAGGGGAGGAGCGGATGCACTCGGCTCTATATGAGAGAAATAAACACTCTTACAAACACAGAGTAAAGCATGGTAGTCAAAAAGTCATTTCAATTCCATGAAAATGATTTTCTATTCTCATGTGAATAAAACTCTTTTTCGCAAGAAAGGTTTTGCACTTAGCCTTGTTTTAAAACCCAGAAATGCCTATTTTATCGCTACGATCCCCGATAACGACAACTATGACAAGCTTTATTGGCATAACTACAACAAATACAGTATTCCAAAAGCCTTTCATAACTGATTATTGATTCGTCAGTTAATTCTTAAGGTAACTTAAAATGAAATAAAAAGTCAAAAGTGAGTCCAGTGATCTTATGGACACTACACTTCTAAATGTAAAACTGAAGTCCATCTACAAAGATAATCGTATCGTCACTACTATCGCTATGTTCGCCGAAGAGTGGTTTCCATATATTTGCTATATATTTCATAATTAGTTGAATGCTACAGGTTCATTCATTTTCTTTGAAAGCTCGCCAGTTATCCTTGGATTGCCTTTAACGTTGACCAGTTTAACATAAATCGATAATTTTCAACTAGGAACATAAGAAAAAAAAATTGCATTGAGGAGTATTATACTGAATTTCTGCCGTGTCATTCAGTTATTACCCTGGGTGCCAGAGACTTTTCTAGCGCGGTTTTCAGTTTCTGTCAAGTCTTAATAGTGGCCCGCGCGGCACGTTTTTTCTCGCGGCTTCGGCCTACGGCCGAAGATATGTCGACCTTCGACTAGCACCGAAAATCCCGCCGCACGTGAGAAAAACCTCTGGTACCCAGGGTATTCAGTTATTCGCCACTTTAGATAGATAGATAGATAGATAGATAGATAGATAGATAGATAGCTTTATTCGATCCATTCGACTGGATTACGGCACCGTTGAATACTAAGAAAATCCAGTAAATAAATAAAACAAAGGAACCGCACCTGAAATTTAAGAAAATAGCCGCGAATTTACAATAAAACCAAAATAAAACTATTCATTGGTACCAAAGAGGTACGTTAAAAGGGTATTCAGTTATTCGCCACTTTAGAAACGAGAAGGGAACTGGGCCGAGTTAACTGTCGCAGAGACTTCTGGGACTGTGACTAAGGACGGGAAAAAAAATTGGCCAATAGCTGACCGACGCGCTCCGCTAGCACCCAGTAACGATCCCACAACCTAGTGCAGGACGCATTTCGGCTCCATTTCCTTTCTCGTTTCTATAGTGGCGAATTGTGCATGTAGTAATTAAACAAAATTTAGAAGGAAAAAAAAAACAAACAAAAATAAAAAGTCTATCAATAATTTCACGAACCAGATGAACGACATATGGAGAAGCAAAAGAACCCAATCTGGCTACCGAAGTAGAGGTACCCATTCCTACGTTTCTGAAAAGAGAACAAAACATGGAAGGTTGATCAGGTTGCAATTACTATATTGAAGATCAGTAGAGGATCATCAGACAAGTCACTGTCCACGACAAATGCGTTTTCGAAAACCTTTGTTTTCATGATAACAAAAACGAATCGAAAGCTCTTCGTCCATACTAGCGATTTTCGCATGGTTTTGACCGTCCATACTCAGCTAGAGAAAAACGCGTATAATTTTTGAGTCAGTCCACCGTCTCACCTAATAACCGTAGGGAACAGCTCCGTCGAGAACACATAAACCGCAGCGAAGGAAATGAACACGAAAAACTTAGCTGCCAGCGCCATGATAATACGACCCGCGGCAAAACCTGAAATAAAAAGAGAGTCAATGAAATTTTTTTAGGTAACTGGTATCTAGTGACTCCTCAAAGATTATCGATTATTGCTACGATCCCCCGGGGGGGGGAGTACTTCCTAGTGATAGGCTAATGGGGATGTGCCGCTGGATGGGGTCGCATTTTCACCGCTGGATTGACTATGATGGGGTGGCATTTTTGTTAGAGCTACTAGGATGGAATCGCACATTTTTGGGATTTGGGGGATCAGAAAATTCAAGTAGGTAGGGATTTAAAATGGGAAGATTTTTACTTCATTAATTTAACCAATAGGGCCATTTATACGAGGAAAATAAGACGCGTCTTACATAAGACGCGTCTTAAACAAGACGCAAACTGTATCATTTATACGAGCATGTCTCATCTAATAAGACGCGTCTTAGCTAAGCCGCGTCTTATTTTAGACGAAATGTGCCGTTTATACGGAACGTTCGCGTCTTATTTAAGACGCCTCTTATGTAAGACGCGTCTTATTTTTCCTCGTATAAATGGCCCAAATGTGTCAATTCATTTCAAGATGATCTAGTTAAAAGGCTTTATAAGTAGGATGCATAAGCAGAAAGTTACCAAGTTGGAATCGTGAAAATTACATTTTCCCAAAAGTGACTAAGATGGAGTCTATATTTGGCCACAGAATAGACTATAATCGGGTAGGGGTTCTGAGAGCCCAGTGGCACATACCCAGCTAAAATTAATCCAAGTAATCTCCCCCCCCCCTCCCTGGGGTAGCGATCGCCCTATGTATGTCAATCTGATTCCTGAATCCGGGAAACTTTTGCTTGCGAAATCCGGAATTCAGCTCAAAGAATCCGAAATCCACAGCTTAATTCCTAATATGGGAAGATAGCAAGGCAGCTTTGGAAACAGCTACTTACATTTGTCGTTGCCAGGATCATACATCGTAAATAACACAGCACCAACCGAGGCTATGGAGGCTAAGATCATGAAATACACTAGTGACTTTTTGCGACCAATCCTGCGATGAAACGCAACAAATATTTACGTCAAGGAATTGTTAATCATTCGTTCTTGCGCTATAGATTTGATTAAACACATATGTCTCAGCGTTCTCACAGGGTCTAGAAAGATATTCTCGGGATCCAGGATTTGACCAAATAGAGTGCGGGATTCGGTAAACGTTAACGGGATACTGCTACCCGAGAAGCGGGATTCGCCAAAATTTGGGCTCAAAAGCGGATTGGGAAAGAAATGCTTTTCGGGATAACGATGAAAGAAGTTCGGGATGTGGGATTATCGTGAAAAAGGGCGGGAACGGGAGATCACGACCACCCTTTCCAGACACTGTTCTCAATGCTGCTCTTACAATTACAAACTGAAACAGGTAATCTTTTTCAAGATTGAGAAGGGCGCTGTCGACTTACTTTCCCATGGCCCAGATGCTAACATAATTGGCTGGAATTTCAATGATTGAAGCCAGGAAGAAGTTCAAATACATGTTTCCGCCAAGTGTTGGAGTACTGAATGATACACCATAGTAGACCATTGCGTTTACAAACCTAAAAAGAACACCAAGAAAAGTGTCGAAAGCGTTTTGGTGGAACTCTTAGATAAGGGTGGAGGTTTCTCTTAAATTCTTCATCGCGTTGGGCACTCAGGCGAACGGATGTTTTCAATGTTTTGTGCTCTGCGCAGAAAATTTTTATACCTTTTATCCAATCTTTTGCTAAACAAGGTCATAAAACCAAAGTTTTGTTCCCTTTTAAACTTATACTTCTTCTATGGTAATAACATCTTGGTATTAAGGAAAGAGCTCTGACGAGGTTTTCATAACGGAGCATCGTTGTACTCAAAGGGAAGCTGCGTCGTTCAAATACGCTTTCAGGTCAGTTTGTATCCATTAGCCTAGATTACAGATGAAACTAGCGCCTCTCGACACCTGTCGACAACTGCCACCTTTTTTGGCGGACAGTCCATACATTGACTCTTGTTTCAACCTCTCTACAACGGCAACTTTCTTCTGTCTCCAAGGTGACTATTGTTGAGGGGTTCAACTGTAAACTCTGGTTAAGACCTTCTCGAAACAGCGCCGAAGTCCTTGTTCAGGGGCCCCACCTGTGTACCAGGATTTAAGTACTCGTCATGATTGGTCTGAACAAGCCATTGTCGATTTGCCAATCAGGTTGCGACCCATGCTTGTCTCCAGGCTCCTAACTTTCTAATCAGTGTTCGTTACCCATTCCGCTGGTCGAGAGTAACTAGGCTATGGGACAAGATAAATTACAAGCACACCCCGAAAAAACATCCAGTGTTGATTCAATAAAGTTTCATTTATGATCCACTTACCAGGCATACCAGGATACAAGTGTCCGGTGGCACATTTTTTTACTTGCAAACAAATCTCTTACGTCGCCCAATTGCTGAACCTTCCCGTCAGCGCTCGGGTTATAAAGAGGCTCTTCTGGATACTTTTTCTTGTTAGTCGTGGCGATGTTTCGCAGGATTTCCTCGGTTTCTTTGAGTTTTCCTTTCAGCAACAAATATCTTGTAGATTCAGGAGTAAACCTACATAAAAAAATGCCCGGGGGAACTCAACAAAGTTTTATGCGGGTTGGCTCCGCCCAGAGGTCCAACACTTTAACCTTTTACATACCATTTTTGACACGGAAAAGGTACCCCTTTCGCATACCTTTCATTGACAGATGGTACCCCCTTTCAAATAACTAGTTTAGAACTACTTTATCCCTTTTGACTGCTGTAAATGCACTTTCTTTTAAATATGAATAAATCACAAAACTAGAAAATTTTCTCGACTTTTCACAGCCAAAAAACCTTCTGTTGCCCTTTCAGGTTATATTACAGACCAAAATGAAGGATTTCCCCCTGAGGCCTGAAAAAGGTGCCTATTTTGGGTGCAGCCTCCCAGTATAGACAGTTATAAGGAGTATCCCCCGTCCGGGAAAAAAAACGTAGAATGGAGTGATGAAAGAGGGAGAAGGATTGTTTCGAAATACAAATTTGGTATTCGCTAGACTGGGAAATAGCCGGGTCTCAACAAAGAAAATTGCAGAAACTAAGATCTGAAATATTAGTTTAATGCTCAGAAACGACCTAGTTTAAAATCTTAAAAACCGCTGAGAAAGAGACTTACCAGAAAAAGTCTAAAATGAAACTGAAAATTTTTAAGGAGTTTTGTTACTGTGACTTCTATATGTTTAGACCAAAACTGAGCTGAAATTAACAAAGTATTTTCAGTTATAATTTTTTCCAGTAATAGATCTGAAAGACTGTATTTCAAAAGGAAAACAAAGAAGTTTCAAGGTTTGATGATTTTTCGACTTTTAAGAGTTCGCATGACAAGGTATCGCGATGTGAAAGAGTTCAGTTTGTTCTTTCTGTCCTCTCAATAATATCTAGGCTGAAATTCATTCGGTTTCCTTCCAAAAAAATATTTATCAGTAAGAGATGACCGTTATAATAAACTGGAGAGCGATCTGGTCATCCAATATAGAGCGTTTTCATCAGACGTAACTTTCTGTCCACCATTTTGGTTTCCCGAAACATTGAAACAGCGACCATGTTGGTGTCCCAAACCAATCCCGTGGGAGGTGAACCTTTTTTTTATGTACTAACTTTCTTTTTCCCCAAAACATTTGCATTGCTACAGGCCAAGGGAGTGAAAAGGCTCTATAGTTACTCGACCTTGGCTCGAGCCAGACAGTCGTCACTACTGTACGTGAAAAATGCGTGACTTACCACCAGCCTATTAGGACAATAAGCCCAGGTGCCGCACAGGTAATGGACAGGTGCCTCCAGTCACGCAATCCATATGCCATACCAGCTAACATGACTAGTGACAGAGCCCAGGAGTACCATAGTGATGTACCAGCCACATGACGGTGCCTCGCCCCCACGAACTCAGTTGCCAACACGTAGATTCCCATTGCCCCACCCCCTGTTGGGATTTGTGAGGGAAAAACAAAGTGAAGCAGTGGCGAAGACAGCACCTCTTCCCCAGGGCTTTTCCGTTAGAAAATGGGAGAGGCGGGAAAAGTGCCTGTCATCGACTGATCACGTGTCTCCTCATACACCCTAAAGTCTTAAATTATCGCTGTGTGAATACGATCAAAAGTGTAAATTATGCGTAACCTCTCAGCGCGCGCGCGATCTCAGACGGTCTCTTAGCTTTTATATCTCTTGACGAGAAACGAGTAGTTTTGAAGAATTTTCCTCTTGTAACAGACAAGCCGCAGTAATTTTTTGTTTGCCTCTGATCTCTTTGTAGTGGACGGCGATTTTTTTCCCCGCACCTTCTATTTTTTAAAAAAGAAAAGGACTGGGAACGAGGCTGGTGAACACATAGCAACAAGAATTGGTTAAAGTGGCTCACTGCATTTTAAAACAGTTTTTGTTGTTTTGTTATGCTTACCGATACTAATTCCAGCAAGAGAACGGAATACAATAAAGAGCCAAAAGACATTGGGAAAGGCCGCGAGAAGTGCAAAGAAACTGCACATGAGTGCAAACACGAACATGACCGGTTTCCTTCCAATCTTGTCTGCCAATACACCGCCCGCCAAAGCGCCCAATAGCCATCCAGCAAAAATCACAGATGTAGAAATTGTTCCAAGCAAGGACTTGTCACAGACTAAATCAAACTGAAAAGTAAAAATGTCGTACATCTTCAGAATAATGTTACTATACTTGATGTTTGAGTAAATATTTTCTGCGATGCCTTCGTTAATCTGGCGACATCTGTTGGATTTCTTTGTGTTAGGGCCAGAAAAAATGAAGATTTCGAGGATAGTCCTTTGTCCACCCCTTCGTTTTTTTCCTGGAGGCATGGTCACGATCTCGCGCACGTATATTTAAAACAGTCACAGTTTTGCTGATTCTACCGGGGTCTCAACTGATCAAAAAAATTGCTCACTCAGTCTACATGAGCTTCACATCAAAAACGACCTCGAAATTCTATACCGATAACGTGTCACCACCCAGATCTGGGTAGTGCTTCTGATTGGTCGTGCCGCGGGGGAAATTTGCTTCAACCAATCAGAATCACTACCCAGATGCTAATTAGCGATGGCGGTCATCAGTATGGAATTTCTGCGCTTGTTTCTCAGACGTGATTTGGCGGGGAAACCAGTGGTTGGGCGTCACGAAACTGATATCGGCTGTTTTCTCAGGCGGGGATTCTGGCTTAAAACCTTACAATTTTAATTATAATCAATAAATTGAATTATTCCTTACCTGAGTGACCACTGAGGTGTAACCCTCGGCAAATTTCCAGGCTTCCCTCGGCATCTTACACCGTTCATCGTACAGTTTATCCCCGGGTTTAAATTCCCCCGTCAGATTACACGCGCTGTGATTGGTCTCACACAGCCAATTAGGTTCAGCAGCGATGAAGGTCGGTACCAGTATCTGCCAGGTGAGGTTCACCCACTCAATGTAACTCAGAATGAAAATGAGGCGAATCTGGTAGAGTCCCAGACTCCCAATCCGATCTAACACTTGGTCCACAGTCAAAGCCATTTAGCATGCTATCAAAGAAATGGTCAGATTTCGTTGGTATTTGTTCTTCTTCGGGAAAGGTAAAGTTTAAAGTGGCTCATGTGTAAAGTAAGAGAAAGATAAGAAACGTTGATTGATCACTGATAATTGTATTGTATTTTGACAACCCGCCACTACTAATACTTGCTAAGAGCGAGTCGCTGACAGTGCCTTGAAGGTTATCTTCGGAATCCGGGATTTGGCCGAAATACAATGCGGGATTCGGGAAAACGAGAAAATTCTTGACGGGATACGGCATTTGACCACGTTTCGGGAAGCTGGATTAGCCAAAATCTTGGCACGGGACGCAGTATTGGGAAAGAAAAGGGTATTCGGGGTGGGGATGACAGAGGTTCTGGTTGCGGGATTTGACGGGATAAGGGATTCAACCGTTACTGGGGAAGCGTGTTTCGCCAAAATCTTGGCACAGGATGTGTACTGAGAAAGAAAACGGCATTCGAGGTAGAGATGACAGAAGTTCGGGTTGCGGAATTGTCGCGAAAAAGGAGCAGGAATGCAAACCCCTTTCCAGACCCTATTCTGAATTTTGCAATTTATGAGATAGCTTGGGGAACAGTAGCCTCCTTTGCAGCCATTCTTCGTGTCGTCACGCAACACTGGGGATAGACTGTTCAGGGTCGCCTACCTTTCCGTAAGATAATCGAGACTGAGAGTTTTGCGTTACTAACCGGCCATCTTGGTTTCAAATGCTGGAGGGGGTGGGCCTCGCGCTGGGCTCCTGTCCCAGGACGAAACTCGGTACATATGAAGCAAGATGGTTATGATGTTATGTTCTTTTTTATCATATTTTTCCCTTTGACTTGTTTCTTTTTATTCTCACTGCTGACATTTTACAGCTTCGCGAGATTTTTGCGATAACGTATTTCTAGTTTAATACAAGGGAAATAAGGGTGAAGCTGAAGAGAGTGCCGTACTAATGACCCTAGTGCCGTTCGAATTCCCGTTCCTTAAGTTAACTCAAAATTGGTCATTTCACGTCGTAGTTGGTCAGGTACGACAAAGAAATTTACAAAAAATCGTGATGCACGTGCAGAATAGTTGTTCTGTGCCGCTGGCGTCGTAGTCTAGTAAGGTCACTACAATCGAGCGCAAGGTGCCCACTTCGTCACCAGATAGAACATTTTTCTCCTTTTTTCAACGGTAAAGCCCTGGGAAGAAAGATAATATTCGCGAGGTGCGAACGGTGACTGGCTGTGAGCCCAAACAAGTTAAAAAAAAATCGCAATTTTCCATGATCCAAACGTTTGTTGGCTTACCACACTATCATCTGTTAAAGCACTTATCATGAGATGTGACTGTGAAACAGAATCTGATCTATTTCCTGTAAATGTGATCTGTCTACCATGTGGCAAGAAATTTTTGCGGGTTCTAATTTTTGCGAGTTTTGCTTTTAATCCCAGCGATCCGCAAAAATAAGTTCCCGCAAATAAAAATTAACGCAAACATTTTTCCTGCAAAAATTTACTCCAGAGTAAATATTCTCTAAAAAGTTAAATTCGCTACACAAAAATACAGTACTAATAAATCGCGCGTCTGTTCAATCACAACTTGTCTCTTTCATTCAGAAACAAAACGGTATACAACGACTGTACTGGTTTATTGTTTGAAAATATGTATTTCTATTGCACGTACTCAATAAAAACGAAAATATTGTCAATGCTGGGTACTGGGTACTTTCTAAAAATCGCAAAAATTAATTCCCAGCAAGAAAAACCAATCTGTCCTAACCGTAAAAATTAGTTCCTGCAAAACACAAAAATCGCATGCCGCAAAAATAAACTCCCGCAAACATTTCGTGCCATACGGTGTCTAAAGTCTTGGCAGGATACCGACTCAGGATCTACCGACTGCATTATGCAAAGGATCTTATAACATAACAACAACAATTAACAATTTTTTCTGTGGCTGGTATCAAATAATGTCGGAGAAATAAATGGCTTTATATGTAACCTTCTAACCCTTATAAAGAAACCACCTTACGTTTCTCAAAGTATAAATATTATCTGGTGCGGTTGAGCTTTAGGCTAATCCAATTTATCTTTGAGGAATTGCCGGTTTATTACGTAACTTTGAAGCAGTCAACAAGCATTCTCTTCTTTGACACTCATAAAAATCAATGTTACGCTCTCTTTTTTCCCCAAACATTTAAACTCGAAGAGAAAATGCTAAAGGGCTCTAGCAAGTTGTCCTCAATAAATGGGCGGAGAAGTAGCCTTAACCTTAGAGAGGAACAACCGGCGACACCCAGGGGTGGGGGTGGGGGGTAATCTTTATTATGATCTAAACAGGGAGGCTTATGTCTGAATGGGGTATTCGTGTCAGGCTTCAGGTATAAGAAAGGGTAGTGATTTTGAGGGTGGAAGTATATGATATAGGGTAGAGAAATCTGTCATTTTGGTTGGTTTCTGAATTACACTATAATGCGCATCGTGCTGTGGAAATGAAACAAAACTCGTAACTGCTGAAAATTACAGGAAATTACAGCTTTCAGAGACTCTACAAATATAAAAATTTCCAAAAATAGATCAAAATAATCTACTGACAAATGATGTCGATAATTTGTGTTGAAAATTGATTCGGCACAACTCAAAAAATTTAGACTGATGTTATGTTGAATCATTATCCTCCCAAAGTATCCCTTCTGAAGTGAAGGGAGTTTGCAAATCAGCTTTTCCTCTTGCGCAACTTTACGAAAAACAGCAATACGGTTAGTTTGGATGGTTGCAGTTTGAGAGTCGAAATCGTTTTTGGGAAGCTGGAACAAAACCGGTCTGGAAAATGTTAAAGCCTCTAGCTTGTTTCAGGCGTTCATTTTTTGGGAACGGCAGATTTGTCGAAGGGCTCGCTCTCTGCCTTTCCGCCGCACTCCACTACCTGAACGCCAGGAACAGGCTAGAGATCAGCGAACCTCTTTCTTGTCCGAATTGTAAAATCTTTAATTTAAGGTCGAACTTAACAGAACAACGCAGAAAATTTCGCCCGCTGACGAGCAATGCTCAGTTCAGGGTTGCATCCGTGCGCTGCAGATAAATTTTCATCGCGAAAGAAACTGTCGAACAATTACCACGATGCAGATTCACCAAAAGCTCTAAAACAAACCTGCAACAAGAGCCGCCTTTTTTTGGTCTTCGGCCCGGCCGTTAAGGCGTTTCGCGAGGTAAATCTGAATCGTCTCTAAGCGGAGAATGAAAGAGAGGTGACTTTTTTCCCGAAGCACATTTTGAAACCAGATAAAATAACAACCCTTTTTCGATCACCCATTTCTTATTTTCCAAGGTAGTATCTGGTTGAAATTCGAATTGTGAGTTAAGTGTCTCAAAAAATTGAAGATCCTTACCTACAATGCGAAAATCTTTAAAAAAAATTCCTCGTCCCACGTTTACTTCGCTAGCTTTCCAAGCTATTATTTGTGCGTTCTTCACAGCTTTGGTTGGAATTTCCTCCAGTTTTAATTTCCTCCTGTAACATTAAACTACTGTAAATGGAAATAGGACAGACTGATGCCCTTTGTATGTACACCCCATATGGTATAAGCTATCGCATTGCTTCTAATTAGTAATATGTGCTCAAGTACTAGAAAGATCTGGCTAGACCTAACTAATTACTGGCGTCACATTTTAAGAAGCAACTAACAATACAACAACAGCAACGGCAGCAAAACACATAAACAAAGATTTTAAAAGTGATATGATTTTATCAATTGCGAAAAAGTGATACAGTAGTTGGAGGCGATGGTTTTACAGTTTCATCGTATCGGACATCAAGGGCTCTTTCTCTGTGGTTCAATTTTAGCATTGGTTTAAATTTCCTTTTCCCTTGGTTTGTGCTGCGGTAATTTACGATAATACGTTTGAAACAAAGGAAAATAAAATTCAAACCTATGGCAAAATTCAACCAAAAGATCAGTATATTATATAAGACCATATAAATTCAGTCGCCTGAAGTATACAAACATGCTGAAGCTCTTAAAAAGTCATCAGCAAACGAGGTATATTGAGTTTTCGAGACCAAAATGACCCTGAAGCTAAGTATTAATGAAATTCTTGTCTCATTAAGCCGTTTAATTGGGTTAATTTTGGCTGTAGGTATGTGCCGCTGGCCTCTCAGAGCCCCTACCTCATTATAGTCTATTCTGTGGCCAAGTTAGACCCTATCTCAGTCACTTTTGGGCAAGTATGTAATTTTCGTGATCCCAACTTAGTCACTTTCTATTTTTATGAACTGACCCATTTTTTAGATCGAATAAAGAACACTTTACTTTTCATCTGTAGTACAAACATATACTGGTAAGTTTGCTAACCGTAAAGTTGAAGAACTGGCTTACCCCCAAAAATCCGAAAATGTGCGACCCCATTCTAGTAACTCTATCGCAAATGCCACCCCGTTATAGTCAATCCAGTCACGAAAATGCGACCCCATCCAGCTGCACATCTCCATTAGCCTCTTGTGAGGACGTACTCCACCTCCCCTTCCCCCCCGGGCCAGCTAAGCCTTTTTGAAACTGGCCCTAATGCTCAGGTCATGCTCGTCTATAATACAACAAGAGGCTGATGGGTTTATAAAAATTTTTCCCTAAATTAAAAGATTATATCCCTGAGTAGTAAGGCCTCACCTAAATTCCGAATAAAAGCGAGAACAACAACGATACATCTTTTATAAATCTCCATACAGTACCCTATACGCCTTAAAAAGCGCTATCATGTCCAAACGACTGATGTTGTTCGAATTCTTAATTTGGTCTAAAGATAAGGGGGGGCGGGTCCCCCGGGCCCCTCCCCCGGATCCGCCACTTAACAGGGTAGCGAAATGAGCAATTTTTGTCTTAAACAGGGTCAGGGTTTGAAGTCCTCGGCGGCACAGCTCTACCCAGACTTCCCCTGAGTCTGCACCCCCCCCCCCCACCCGGATTGAGGGTCCCCAACAGGGTTCTTCAATCCGTCATTCCGACCCCTATTTTCCCTCCATCCGCCTAGCCCCCCAAATGATTATTTTCGGCATTCTGGCGCATTCCATGCGTATTCTCGCCCCTCATTTTGCCTCGAAAGCCCGAATTCTGGCCTTTAAAGAAGGCAAATACTGAAGAGACTTTCGATTCATGTTTATTGTCTTTATCGATGAAATAAGCTGAAAACCGGTGTCGGGATGTTAAACGTCTCGTGAAACCGCCGACCTAATTGAGCCCCAAAGATTATTCACCGAGGGAAAACCAAACCATAGTTTCTTCAGTTTTCACGGGGAGTTCATTAAGAAAGAAAGAGAAGAAACCGCTGCTCAAAGGGAAGAGCCGAACAAATACGGATTATAGCCTGCGTAGCTGGCGGTATTGTGTGGGTGTGAGATTAAAGTTTTGGCGGCGACGCCGTGGTCCAAAAAAAGGGAGTAGGGACGAGGTGGTTGAAATACCGCGGTATTTCTCGCGGCTTCGCCGTCAAATCTCACTCGCCTATATTACAACGGCTCCGCCGCCAAATCTCACTCGACCAGCTACGCAGGCTACACGGATTCATGCAGATCGAGTTGATACTTAAGTGTGAAAAGTTACTGATTAACAAATTAATAAGCCTCTTTTACATGGAAACCATTGTATTGCTCTTACCATTGACAATTCCGGTTCAAATATTAAATCATTTTGCTTTCGGCAAAGCAAAAGCAGCAAACTGAGAGATAAAAGGGACCAGGATTTTGAAACTAGTACAAGTGAGGAACAGGAAAAAAAGGAGAAGATCAGAGCAAAGGAAAATAGAGAAGAGGACTTTGTCTTTATCTGTTCTAACCATATTACGCTACTGGGTTGGTTTGTACAACCGCTTTTGCAGGACATTTACTTGATATCAAATAAAGGTGAGGAATTTTGATTTTGTCATTCAGCCAAACGACAACTAGGAAGGAAGTAGCTATTAAAATGTTAAACTGAGTTTGGAAGTCTCCTGTTCTAGTATTTGCCAGCAGAAGACGAGTCAAATCCGCGTCCTGGCCGGCAACCAAGTATGTGTTGTAATTTATTCAGAAGTGTAATTGTTTTTCTAAAACAAAAGGCTAGTCCACGAAACGAAAACGCAAACTGGTGTTAACAAAAGAACAATTTATTTAACGTCAGTAATTAAAAATGAAACGCACATGAAAGACTTGCATATTTGCGGTACTGGAAACCTGCAAGAAAGCCGAGCTCTGCTCTCCCTATAGCCTGTGAACAGGCCTTTGGTCGAGCGGGGAATTAGGGAGAGGGAAAAGCGAAAAGGCCTGTGGACAAGCCTTTGGGAAACGCACATGCATCAAAGACTTGAAAATATTTGAAAGGTCCTGATTGACATCGGCTCAGAAAAACATTACATTTCCGGACTAAAGAAAATCGCTTAGTTATTCAGATCCAGAGGGCACTTTGGAGAAAAGTACGACCCTTATTCAGCCGCAATAAAAAGCTTTACGCTTCAAAAGAGGTCAAAGAAAATGCTCTTGCATCAGAGAGGGCAAATCCTGCCGACCAGAGACAAAAACCACAGTAAATCGATATGTATGCCATGACCTCTCAGTGTGAAACCAGCGGCTAAAACCGTATTTGCTCAGTGAAAATGTAGAACCTTCCAGAGCATAATCTACCGAGCAGAGGAAAAAACTTATGGGAACAGGCAGCATTTTGGCGTGAGGCAAAAAGCCGTGTAGGCCTACCGCCCTCTTTTATTGCTATAAATGCGGGATAAATACCCAAAGGTGTAATTCCTGTCGGCGATCGAAGCGCTGTTGATTTCTTTGTACTTGTCTTTGGAGGTTCACGTTCTGGAGAAGTCATGATAGTATCTGTACCTTTGGCATTCCAAGCGATTTTTTTCAAAATCGACAATTAGGCTCGCGGTCCATTTCACTTTGTTTTGAGACGAAGCAAAACACGGATGTTTTCCCTTTAATTTTCCCAGGAGTTTCTCACGCGCGAAATTGATTGACAGATAACGATCTTTCTGACAGATGTTCGGCAAGATAATTACAAGAGGGCGGAATAGCGGCCTCAAACGTGTGTCTACAGGCTCTCTCCCCCCTTCCCTTCCCTTTCCTTGCTATTTTTTTCCCCAGACAGAGAGCCTGTTCACAGGCTACTCTCCCTACGTGGGATATCATGAGAAGTCACGCGCGAGTAGCACGCGAAGCGAAGGGAGAGACTCAGAGTGGCCGATAGAACTAAGCCTCTGGCGGCTTTGCCGTGCCGCCCGCTCGCGCGTTCTCTCGCGGAGTTTACTTCGCTTGCCACTCGAAATGGAGAGCTTACTCGTGGGTTACGTTGCTGACAGAGAAATTGATTTCCCTTGCCTCATAATTTTTGAGGCGTTCTTTGGTGATTGAGAGCAAATAGGAAAATCATCTCTCTCCGTGCTGTCATCTCTTAATGGAAAAAAAATATCTCGTTAATTGAGTCGCTTGTTCGAGAGGAGGTTTTCTCCCATTTATTTCAATCAACAAAACTTCTTTTTGCCCTTATTTTAAAATCTGTGGCTTCATTAACTTCTAGTAATGTCCTGAATGATGCAGTCGAATTTTCCGTCTGCAAACACCCTAGCCGTGTCCGTTCAACGCTTGAGACACAGGAATGACCCACATAAACTTTCTCTCAACAATATCAATATATAATCAAGAGAAAAGATTATGAGAATTAATACAGTAATCACCAAAGGAAACATGTATTGACCTTTTAACAAAATATCTCAGGGAAATGTAAGGATTACCGTACAGCACAGTTTGGAGAATTTGTACGTGGACACTTGTTTGTTCACATCATACGGGATGCTTTCCGTGACGGACAAAAAAAATCTATCCGTTGAGGAACGGTCAAACGGGCAACAAAAACGTGCAATCTGTTTTGCCACATTACTGCTAAACGAGTTTAACAGCGATGTTTCGCGTTACACTAGCCACGTTCAGGTCTATCTTGCAACAATTCAGGTTATTGCAGATTGCAAAAATTTGTTGCAGAAAGTAGAGAGTGGTCCTATCTTTTTTTGCAACAAAATCTTTACTTGTTGCGAGTTTTACCGGCCTGAAGTAAACTCGTTTTGTAGCTAGCCTGCATAACAGGGGCTTTATGAGCGAAGCGAGGCGAACGCGGCATTTTGCGCGCAGCACGAGACGAGGAGAGGAGAAAAAATAAAGCTTTATTTTTTCTCCTCTCCTCGTTTCGCGCTGCGCGCAAAATGCCGCGTTCGCCTCGCTTGGCTCATAAAGCCCCTGTTATGTAGGCTATTTTGCAGCAAGTGACGTAACTCCCATGTATGGCGTGACTCCTGCGAATTTTTTCCAATCAGAAGTCAGTATTCACGCAGCTTGCAACATCCTAATTTGTTGCAAGACAGGTTTAATTCGTGGGTGGCTAAAAGTGCAACATCGCTATTCAGCTTGTTTTGCAGCAATTGTTGCAAAACAAGTTGTACGTTTTTGCTGCCCGTTTTACCCTAGCTTTATGGTGTGAACGTAACCTCAGTTAATAACACGGGTTCCAAGTCTTCTTTTTTCTCCCCCGATCAGGTTTCTTTATCATAATGGCACTGGACATTGATCAAGTACTGGAGCAAATCGGCAGCATTGGCCGATATCAGATCCGCTTTATAAGCGCCATGTGTTACCTTGGATTCTTCGTATCGGGATTTCAAACAATGATCATGACCTTCATTGCAACCGAACCCGGATGGCGTTGCGTGACCAACAGCACCTTGTGTAACGCAACAGGTGTATATCGTCCTGGAGACGTGGGTTACAATGACCGGTGTGATAGAAAACTGCCTAGTTCCGAATGGGAGTATGAAGATACTTTCACATCAACAGTTACTGAGGTGTGTACCGGTCAATTCGAGATTTCAAGTCTTCATCTCTCGGGCAATTCCTATGGTTAGGACATTTTCACTTTTGGAAACGGGCACTTTGCACGAAACGGTCACATGGTACAAAAAGCATCTAGCCAGGATGCAGCAGCTGCTAGGAAGCTGAAAGCCAATTGGTTTGCTACCCAAACCGGAAAACAAAGCAAAACAATGGTAAACAAGGAATTACTATTTTTTGAAAGAACGAATCAGGAAAGACGTTACGAGCAGCTCTTACATTACTGCCTTGCTGGTTGGGAAAGGTCCCAGAGGGGCAAGAAAAACAAAGTGATGACATCATTTAAAAGCTGAAGCCAATATATATCCTTTTTTTCAAGGTTCCCACTGCCTCATTTGCCATCCAGCAAGGTGTTTTTTTTAATCATGTGACCGTTTCGTGGGACCCATTGAGTTGGTCAATATATCATTCCTGGGCAAAAAATATTGCTCAAATACCCCACCTTGTTTTGGCTAGAATACCCGATCACAGGCCCCTACCCCTGGTAAAAAAAAAGAATCAATTTAGGTTTCTGGGAAACTGCCCACCTACCCCTTCCCTAAGCCATCATTTTTCCTTAAGTGAGAAGGAAGTATTAATATTAGTTTAGGGGAGGGGTAGGTGGGCAGTTTCCCAGAAACCTAAATTGATCCAAAAAAAAAAAAAGTCGTAAAATTTAATCGTATTCCAAGGCAAACAGGTAACTTTAAAGTAACTTTTAATCTCTGCTTACAGTTATGCATATCTTTTCCCCAATCTTTTCTAGTTTCATACGAAGATCAGAGCTTAGCCTCCAACATCAGATATCGATCTTCACCATTATTTGCACAGAGGATAGTATCATAAGTACAAAATCCGTTGCTATGGGTCTTACCATGCAGAATTGTCGACCTCAGGAATGACTCTGTCTTTCATTTTTTTATGAAACAAGTTCGTGTTGAGTGAGAGAATTCTTGTATAAAGATTGGGACAAGATTGTATGAGCTATGACTGCAACAGGTTTCTGGGAAACTGCCCACCTACCCCTCCCTTAAGTCAACATTAACACTTACTTCTCACTTAGGGCAAAATGTTGGGTTAGGGGACGGGTAGGTGGGCAGTTTCCCAGAAACTTTCAATTGATCCCCTTAATTTTCCCCATTCATTTCCTTCCTTCCAGTGGGATCTCATCTGTGACAAGTCAATTCTTGGAAGCGTTTCATCTTCGGTCATCTTCGCCGGATGGCTTCTTGGAAACGTGTTACTCGGATGGATCTCGGACAGGTTCAGTCGTCGTAAACCTTTGTATTTTACCGTATGTCTAGCGGCAGTGTTCGGCTTTGCTGGTGCATTTTCTCCTCTCTTCTGGTTATTTGTGTCAGCAAGATTCGTTGTGGGATTCATGCTAGGTATGTCAAGAATGATTACAAACAACGGGGCCTTTCCAACTTCGTTCCCAAGGCTCTCTCATACTCATCCAGCGCGAGAGAGGGAACCCTGGAAACGAAGTTTCGGTTTTTTTCTTCCACAGTACAGTACAGTACAGTTAAAACCCTCCAGCCGATAGACCTGTTACTATGGAGTTGCACTGGCGACTACACGGTCGACCAGTGCAGCGAAACCACTCTTATCCTGTGTAGCCCTCTTTGCCTGCTCAATGGGGAAATTTAATAATTTAGCGATATTTATCCAAGGGTCCCGTTTGTATGGACGCTTAGACTTCGCAAACAGCATCTTCTTTGTCGGCGTAGTGTTTGGACAACGGCAAACATGACCAATATATTTTAAATGTAGGCTCCTGATCACACTTCTCTCTCTCCTCGCCTGGAAAGTCCTCCTCCTTCTCCTCATTTTTATTGTTCTCCCTCCTCCTCCTCCGCCACATTTTTTTTGTTAACAGGCAGGTTATTTAGAAGGTCAGACAAGTTAAAACCCGGCTGTATATAAAAAGTCACAGCAACAAACCAATGAGTGGCGCTGGATCTCCCAGTTGTAGACCTGGATCAGCACAATTAAACTTGTAGAAAAATATGGAACGGCAAACTGATCATAACGGCAACAATGCGATGAAGAAAAAAAAAAAATAAAAACAAAATAACAAAAATATATATATTTAATCAAATTGCCCAATATTTCGGTTTGAAAACAAACCTTCTACAGGGGCTACAAGAAAAGTGGAAATAAAACTAAAAAGTGAAAAAGTTTCCGGTTTTAAAGGAAGCTAAGTCACGCTATTCACCATCAGTTTTCCAAAGATAAAACTTTTTTTTGCGTCAATTAAATTCCAAACATAATCCCCCACATAATGGTCCATTTTTGTTATTCAAGACCATATTTAGACATTCAGGCTGTTTCCTGTCGTCTGTTGCAACGGATGGCAAGGATGGACATGGACTTAAACTTGAAAAAGTTGGGTCAATGTCATAGAATGCCAAATTAATAGTAGTTACTTCTTTCATGCTAATTTTTTTTGTTTAGGTATTTTTTTGCCATAGGACGTTATTACGTAACTTTTATTGTTGTAGTTGGTACTTTTTTGTTCGTTATAAAACTAATTCGGTAGAATGTTCATTGTAAGCCGTTCTATTGGTTGTAAGCCGTTAATTACTACCTTTTACAATTGCCCCTTTTTGCCACACCTTGCATTTGAGGGATTTGGAAATCTTGGATATTTTAAGAAGGAGCCGCGTCGCTAAAAAGGTCAGTGCGGAGGGCGCGTTCAGAGAAAGTGTAAGAGAGAGAAACCTTGAAGCACAACCACTTCTGAAATGCCTTCAGCAGCGGCGTCCTCTTTAAAGAAAAAGAAACCATTTTGTCAGGAGGAAAGCGGTTTGATGTGCTGTAAAAGTTGAGAGAGCAGGAGAATTATTGTCTCTCCAAAACCGTAACATCTCTCCAAGAACGGTTGCGGAAAACCAAACTTAACTAGAGAGCAGCGGCAGACCGGGAGACCGAATCCGGAGCAAGTCTGTGAAAGAGTTAAGAGTCAGGCGGCTACTGGAGTTTAGAGGTTTTGGGATCGAGTAAAAGTGGTGTTGTGTTCGGAAGGAGTCGCGGCGGGCTGGACTAAAGGAAAGACAAGGAACTCTGTTTTATACGTAAGGTGAACTAAAAAGGGAACAATTACTGTGTGTTCGAAGAAGATAATTTGTAAATACGTTGTAGATTAAGTAGTTCAAAAATTGCTGTGTATTTTTGTGTTAAAAAAGTAATATCGCATTAGTCTTTAGAACTTAGAATAATTATCACGTTTTAATTGTTTAGTGAAACGAGTATACAGATACGCTAGGTTAATCTTAAAATCGTGGACTTTTGGGAGTTTTGTTTTAATAAACATTTAGAGCATTATTTTTTTATATACGTGTTTTCTTGAGTTTGTCTATGCTCTGTGTTATTGTTGGAGAGGACTCACTTTTGTGGCAGGTTTCGTCACAGTCAACTTTTTCGAGTTTCACTGCTATGCCCCCCCCCCCCCCTGCATTTTGTGTATGGGTAAAGACACAAAGTAATAAGCTCAGGTCAGAACTGACCTAAAACAGCAAAATCTGCTTGAAAAAGCCCCTTTACAGGAATCGCCAACTAATGGCTCTTACCGTTACCGTTTTGAAAAATCAGTTTTTACAATTTCTTTCAGGTGGATCTGGGCTAGTGCAGTTTGTTCTTATCACCGAATTGGTTGGCGTACAACACCGTCATTCGGCTGGAATCATCAGCTTCTTTGCGTGGGCCACATCTCTGATGACCATTCCCCTGTTTGCCTACTTCATTCGCGACTGGAAGCTTCTCAATACTGTACTGTCCGCACTGGGTTTACCATCCTTGTTTTTTTGGTGGTAAGGCAAATTAGGGAGCTTAAGGAGCATAGTTCGTAAGCAACGGTCGTCAACCGGAAGTGGACTTTTTGCATCATTGGGGAGTGGTTCGGTTGAAACACTAGCTCAGGTAAATCGTCTTTATAAGAGAAAAGAAACTTGGCAATACAAATTTGTTAGCGTCAAGGCATATAGAAAGAGAGAAGGCCTCACTTCCGGTTGACGTGCGTCGCTCAAAAACGTGGAGGAGGGGGGTGGGGGGAAGAGACGGCTGACACCGTAGACTACGCATAGTATAGGTTGTTTACAGTTCCCCTGTTTTTCCTATGATCTCCCGCGATATCGATGGCTCGAAAAGATTGTAAACTGCCCTCGAGAATCTGATGGAGGGCCCCGACCATTTCATCTCCTATCCTCGTCTATACGAGCAATTTGGACTCTTAAAAAGCAATGGCCGTTTTTATACTAAGGACGCATTAACCGTCTGGACGAACTTGGGCAAACATTTTGTAGTTCGTCTGGTTTTGCGTCTCAAGTATAAAGACGAGCACAAGACGCATTATGCGTCCTGACAAACTACCTTTCGTGGTGCGTAGTTCAAGAAGTATTTCTAAGGAAAGTTCGTCCAGACGCAAAATCTCTATGACTATGAGATAAAATGTCAAAAGTCTATAACAAGACTATAACTATTAAAAAGATGAATCCGGTATAGCGTAACAATAGCAGTGGTATCAGTGGCAGATCCAGGGGAGGGGCCCGGGGGGCCCGGCCCCCGCCCTCTTATTTTTAGACCAAACGTATCCCCGAGAGGGCCAAAAAATTTTTTGGAGACCGGGCTCCCCCTAATCTAAGGGTCTGGATGACCGCCCCCGTCCCCCTTATCTCAAGGCCTGGGTCCGGCACTGGGTATCGCATAACAATCACTTAATTTATCACTCACAGGCTTATTCCAGAATCTCCCAGATGGCTTCTAGTAAAGGGCAAAATAGAACAAGCCGAGAAAGGCCTGGCGGAGATTGCGCGATTCAACAGGAAGGAAATGCCCCAGGAACCATTACTTGCTCCTGTAGATGGGGAAAAGTCATCGGGCGGTTTCCGCGACTTGTTCGCTACTCTGAAAATGTCTCGTATTACACTGGTATCCTGGTTTGGATGGTGAGTCTGAGAGCTTTTATAGAGTACATTGGAATGATGATAAACAACTTTTCTTTCGATTTCTTTCTTGGAAATCAGCGCCGTTTGTGATACGACTTCGATGAAATCCACAGGGAAATGTTTGATCACGTGTGCTAAAATTTTGATAATATAGTTGCAACCCAAAGGATTGTGGGAAGATCTTCCAATCTTCTTTTGTTTATTACGAATGGTCCCTCATGTTGAGAGAGCGAAATGCGCGAGCCCGCGTTAAAATATGCCGCGTAGGTGGTGGCAATTTTCACGCGCGCTCGCGTATTTTACTCATTCAACTACCACTGAGGGAAATCAGAAATTACTCGTAGTACAGAGCTTTACTTAGTAGCCCTGGAGCAAACAAGTTATCAAAAACTATAATCGTCATCCGTTTCAGGAATCTGCTTCAAGTTTTTCCATCTTGCTTCTTTTTGTATTTGCTTTACCGTTTATACCTTCTTTTAACGTTCAGAGCGGTCTTTTTTTGTTTCACTCAATTTAGTGGCAGTTCCAACTGTTTGAATTTTGATAACTTTTCCGACACAGTACCTTTTAGTCTCCGGGTAAGCTAATTCCCGGACTCTCGTAAAAACTATAGGAAAATCCTCAAACAGGCCAAAATACACGCACGCACTCTATCATTCTCTTTTTCCAGGTTCGTGAACTCTATGGTTTACTATGGTGTAAGTCTAAGTGCTCCTGTCTTGGGCGGCAACATGTATCTCAACTTCTTCCTGATCAGTGCTCTTGAGGTCCCCGCTAACTACGCCACAATCTTTTGTAACAGAAAGTAAGTAATTCATTGTCAGCATATCATGATGCAAGCCTCTAATGCTGATTGTTTCAGCCGTTTTTATCTCTCTTTGTGATTCTATCGTGCCCCGATCTATGAGCGTAAATCAATAATTCGATCACGTGGTAAAAACCTCGGTTTACCCGTACGATTTTCCGCCAAAATGTGGAATTCAGCAGAGCGTTATTTCACGTTAGCTTACTTGGATAAGAAGGACGTACGAACGCTGACGTCATATCCAAAATTTTTTGCCTAACCAGCTTATCCTAATTTTTAGCCATGGTGCTACGGTTCGTGGAACTCCGCTTAAGTAGTATCTTTTTTCGCATTAAAGAGCCGGTAATTGTCGTTTTAAAACTCACTTTACCAGACATTTGATAAATATGACGGTACCCTTTACCCTCTCGAGTTTAAGTTGAGTGTTTTCAGGTTTGGACGAAAGAAGACGGTTATTGTTCCCATGGTTCTTGCTGCGCTTGCGTCGATGGGGGCGGTGCTGTTGACCAGAAACGATGATGAAACCGGTGGGTAGAAAATCATTAAGAGAATCAGCAAACCTCAATTTCATTTGAACTTTATCAACGCCGATAACGTCATATTTGTGTGTATGGTTTTTAATCATAATCTTTTGTTGTGAAGCTGTAAGAAAATAAACTTGCTGGAAATGTAATACTTATTAGCAAAGGTGCAATTGTATGAAGATTACATGTTCTGTTGCAGGTTTTTTTGTCGGAAGGATCTTAATGGCGCTGACAGCTAAGTTTTTCATCACAGTCTCCTTCAACGCCATTTATGTGTTTTCTGCGGAATTATTTCCAACCGTTGTCAGGTACCGTGATACTTATGATCTCTTATTTAAACCAGAAAAAGGTACAATTGATAGGACTGATGGCAAATGTCACGCATTAGTTTTTGGCGTTGACGGTTGGTTTAGCGTGCACAGCGGCTGTGGAACAGGCGCTTTGCATTCCACCTTTTAGTTATAATTGATGCTTCGCACCCCAGTTTTCCCGCGCGTTACTAAAGCTGCAACGTTTTTTGTGCTCTCTACAGTTTCGTCTTGTTGATTATTGTGGACCCTGCATCAATTACAGGCCTGTAACAAACTCCACAGACTTTGTCACTTGTATCTCAACCCTTGAGCCTCGTTTTCTTTTGTGACGTGATCAGAAAACTTGTAGATTGCGAGCAGTCTCTGTTTTTCTCCAGATTCAGTGAGGGAATTGCAAGCGCGCGGAACGAAAGTCGAGCGCCGAAGCTGCGAGACGCAAGAAACAAGGGTGCCTAAGCCCTCTCGAGCCTTCAGTCACGTGCGTGGTCATTTTCGTGTCTCGCGCGTTTCGTTTGAGGGACTTAGAAAAAAGGGAACCTTTTCGTAGTCTAGAAAACTTGAAACTTCAGGGCAAGAATCTCGAGAAGGAACAACTGGACCAAAAAAATGGCATTTAATTTTATTATTCTGATTTGTTACTTTTCTTTAAGAAATACTGGAATGGGAACAAGCTCAGGAGCAGGAAGGATTGGGTCTTTCTGTTCTTCATACATTGTTTGGTTGGTAAGTAAGTGCTTTTAACAATTTTTTATTCTTGTTCCTCTCCTCCCGAAGATGGTAGTGGAGCTATAGGGGTGTCTCTATGACTTTTGGGTGAGTTCTTCTGGAATTGCAACGCTTTGCTAAAAGTTATTATCTTACCCCAAAATAACTGCAGCCAGAAAAAGAAAATGTTCAAACAACTGATCAGTTTCCATAAATAATTGAAAGGTGGCCGTTTTCTGAAAACAGTCTGTAGAGCGTTTTCACTCATGTGGCTAACAGCAATGCAAATTTATTGGAACAAAAGAAAGTTTTTACAAAAGAAAAAGCTAGGTTTAACTTTTACAGGATTGGTTTGGAACAGCAACATGCTCGCCGTTTCATTATTTTGGGACACCATTATGGCGGACATGGTGACGTCATATGAAAACGCTCTATAATTCGCCATTATCAGGAGTATTCCGTTGTGTAATAGTCATGAGGTGTCAGCCCTCATTCAATTCTAGCCACTTGCATTTTAAATCAAACTAAACTTCGTTAAAACTTTAACCTTTACAGCATATATATGACATTACCCCAGCCCCCAACCCCCTTTCGGTAACATACTCTCCATCATATGTCTTGCCGAAAAGAGTTCCAAGCGACACTAGGTACGGAGTCAAATACATTTTCTGATGTAAAAATACCATTTCCTTCATTTTAATTTATGTCATTTTCCAGATCCCAGGAAGTCTTTTGAACAAACACATTATGTTTTGAAACTTTTTTGGTTTACAATTATTTTGATCGACAGACCCGAATCCACCCACTCCTGCCCTATGGCATCATGGGCATTGGCGCTTTCGTGGCAGCCATGTTGTGCTTGACACTTGCGGAGACTAAGGACCAGCCCACAGCGGAATTAGTTCGCAATGGTGTCAATGATGTAGCAGTGAAAGAACTAAAAGACGACCTTGACAGAGAGGATGAGAAGATGGAATTTACTTCAAGACTGTAAAAAAAACCCAGTAGCACGTGCTGTGTCAGTTCTTGTCTACCGGCTGAAGAGAGGAAACGGAACACTCAAAAAAATGGTAGAAGTTGTATTAAGTCTTTCCTAAACATCACTCAATCCGTACACGATTTTAGTATTAAAACTTTTTAGACTTTTTACTGGTGAGAAGTATTCGTTTTTGCCTCCGTTTGATGAGGTCTCTTACGGCCTTATTAACTGTTATTTGGTTGATGTGTGATGGTCACTATCAAGGCCAAAACAAAGCCTGTATGGCAGTGTAAAGTATTTTCCCCGCATGTTTTTTCGTTCTTTGACTATAGCCTAGGTACCAAGTTTTTCTCAGGGATAGAGGGTTTTATTGGCACTCGTTTATTCTGCAGCAAACGGTGTCGATGCTCACATTTCGAGCTGGCTACCTGTAGCTGCAGCTTACTTTTCTTTTCAATTTGTGATGGTAGCAATCAGGCTCAATTGATTACTCATTGATGATATTGATCATTGACTAATTATGCCTGAATATGTGCACGTTTTAGAGAAGAAGTGGCGTTCTAAAAGTTCAAGTGCTGATTAAAATTCCCTTTGGTGAGGTCCAATACAAATAGTGAAGATTATTACCATGTGATACGCATGCAAGTTACGTTCGATTCAAAAACAAATATTGGGAAAGGAATTAAAGTAACGCAGCTGATGACTTTGCTGTCTACAGAGCTGCGCAAATTTTCAGTACTAACCAGCGTGTTTATTCAGTAAACAGGGAAGGAAAAATGGCTATTATAAAATTCTTAGTTCAGGTATCGGTCGCTGTTTTACTCTCGCTGTCCATCGTGGATTCTTGTTCTCTTGACTCTGACTGTGCTTCTTCGGAAAGCATCGACCTAGTGAGATGCTGCAAGGGTGAATGCCTCGACAAACACAACAATTGCCCGCTGGGGACAGAAGATGCAATAATTGCTCTTGTTTTTGTCTGCGTTGTGATTGTTGTCGCGGTCTGCTTGATCTACTGCTGCTGTTCATGTCTACGATATCGACAACATTCAACAGGAAAACTTAGAATGAGAAGTGCACCGCCCTATCAGAAGCTCATGAACCACTCCAACGAAACTAACGTCACTAACAAGGGTGCTTCTTCACTAAGGATCGATGTGTTCTACCCACAGCCCTCATCACCAGTGCAGCAGTACGCTATCAGACACCCAATGGAAGTCAAAGATGATCTTGACGGATTTGCATAACTCAAAGGCAACCTGTAATTTCCTTTTTAGGATTTTATTCACCAGAAGTATAGCTTACTTAACGGGCGGGGGAGGTGTTTCCACCATCTCCCATGAAGAGAGAGCGCTTCTCTATACCGATTGATATGAGATGGATTGCCAAGATACCATGTAATAAATTCGTAGAAAAGACGTTAATACCAGGGTTGAGCGTTCAGGAACCTCGCGAATATGCGTGATTCCATGCGTTTGTTTATCACATTACTGCAAAATAACCAGATCAATGGAACGATATCGCATACTTGAATAATTCAGTCACGTATTGTGTTAATGAAATTGTTACACAGTCAATCTAAAAAAGAAGTATACCGTTTTCTTTATAATCTGCACAAGAAGTTGACGCCTGCCAGTCATTCTTGGCTCTTTATTGGCCATTTTGGGGCAAGTAAACCGGGGGGGGGGTACTTCCTTATAAGAGGCTAATGGGGATGCGCCGCTGGATGGGTTCACATTTTCAAGACTGGATTGACTACAATAGGGTTGCATTTTCAATAGAGTAACTAGAATGGGGTCGCACAATTTCGGATTTTTGGGGTCAGAAAGTTCTTTATATTTACGGTTAGCAAACGTACCAGAATGTTTGTACTGTAGGTGAAAAGTAAAGTGTTCTTCATTCACTTTAAAAAATGGGTCAATTCATTTTAGGATGACAACATAAATCCCCTTCTTTTAAGTCACTGGAAGACTTGGGATAATCGCGAAATGGTTTCAAAGGATGCGGAGTCTATTTTTCAGCGACGTTTTCATGGACGTTGCCGTGGTCTGATCGTAAGGCCCCTAATCTTCCGACCCCAAACGGATCCCAATTCAACTTCGTTCCCAGGGCCGAGGGTCATGGAGCTGTTTCGGGGGATGCTGTCTGGTGCGTTGTCGCGTTTTGTCTTGAAATCTGAGCAGGATTTATTTATGAACAAACAAACTTGATGTCAGACATTTGGCAACATGGTAAAGCGAAAAAACACACTGCGCATCTCCCTGGTGTTACTTAGCGACCATGAAATATAGCTCAATATCAACACACATTTTTTTATACTAGGGCCTTATTCAAATACATCATATTACTCTTCGTTTTACCTCCAAAATTTGGGTAAGACTGCAAAATGCAGCTGCTGGCTAAAGATGCTGGTGATAAGTGACCTACCGGTGGAACCACCAAAAAATTGCGCACTGCGTGATCCACCCCACGGGGTATGAAGTCACGCAAGGAGACAGTCACGCGAGGGAAGCGGGAAGCCTGGAAGGTAGCCTGCGATCATGCCCTCTCCCTGTGATCGACCTTGTGATTTGTTTTCGGGAGCAGGCCGTTATTTTTTTCGCTCTCGAGCCAAAGAAGCCAGGAAAAAATAACGCCTGATCTCAGGTTACCTGGAAGGAAAAAAGCATTGCCAAGCAGTTGTTCAGGGTTATTATGGATGCAGACGAAATCCTTGAAGAGATAGGGAGTTTTGGATTTTTCCAAAAGCGAAATGCCGTCTTTCTTGGTCTTATCATTTTCGTTTTGACTTTCCAAACGGTCTCGATGGTGTTTATCGGAGGTGAGCCAACGTGGCGGTGTACCGCAAACAGCAGCGTTTGTATGCAAAATGCAACCATCAGCCCAGATGACGATTATTATAAAGCACGATGCAACATGTCCTCAGAGGACTGGGAATTTACTACCGAGTTTACTTCGATAGTAACAGAGGTAAGAATGTTTTATCTCTGAAACTACAAAGTGAAAACTAAAGCTATTGAATATTCAATAGAATTGATTTATGTAAAAAATCTTCTGTCCGCAGGATTGTGAGCAAATGAAACTTAAACGTGATAACAAAAAGCTAACGAGCAGAGGGTTTGTTTGTTGTGACAATTGATTGATTTTAATGGTTTACAACGATTTTTGTCTGTGTGAACTGTCTGAATTCTTTGCTAGTTTCTTCCCGGAAGCAATTGCAAGGGGGAGGTGGGAGGGGCTGGAGGGGATACTCCCTTAACCTTTTAAGCCCTAAGAGTGATCAGCATCAAATTTCTCCTTGTAATATCAATGCTGTGTAAAACAGAGTGGTCATGAGAATCACATACATGATCACACATGATGCATTTGCTTGATATTTTATCATCTTCTCCCCACTACTTCTGTAGGAAATGAATAGGGGCAACAAATGAGAATTTAAATGTTGATCTTAGGGTTTAAAGGGTTAAATTGACTATGGGAGTGTGTCGGCAGTGCCACCACATCTTTGAAACTCTCATAGAGCTATTTCAGACAAAAAAAGATGAATGTGAAACCCTGTTGCAAACAGGAATATTAAAATAGTAGGCGATCCCTGCGGCTGGCTCAATGATAAAAGGACCAGGGGAAATTTATTTATGTAATTTTGCTCCTAAGAGTCATGTACCTGAAGCGTGAAGAGTACCTCAATCCATACATGATTCTAGTATTAAAACGTTTTAAACTTTTTACTGGTGAGAAGTATTCGTTTTTGTCTCCGTTTGATGAGCTCCCTTACGGCCTTAACTGTTATTTGATCATGAGCGATGGCAATTATCAAGGCCAAAACATAGCCTGTATGGCAGTGCAAAGTATTTTCCCCGCATGTTTTTTCGTTCTTTGACTATAGCGTAGGTACCAAGTTTTTCTCGGGTATAGAGGGTTTTATTTGCACTGGTTTATTCTGGAGCAAACTGTGTCGATTCTCACATTTCGAGCTGGGTATTTGTGGCTGCAGCTTACTTTTCTTATCAATCTTTCTAGTGATGGTAGCAAGGCTCAACTGATTACTCATTGATGATATTGATCATTGATTAATTATGCCTGAATAAGTGCACGTTTTAGAGAAGAAGGGGCGTACTAAAAGTTCAAGTGCTGATTAAAATTCCCTTTCGTAAGGTCCAATACAAATAGTGAAGATTATTACCATGTGATACGCATTAAAAGATAGATAAAGTGCTGATGATTAAAATTCCCTTTGTTATATGTTTTTTTGGTACAACGTTCAAAAATATCAAATAGTGAAGATTCCGTAACAATTTGACAACAGAAAACAAAGGATTGTGCACTTTCACGGTGCTTTGAACATAAACTGCAGCACTGTTGTTTTTATCATTGATGTTTGCCGCTTTTCATAACCAGTCTCCTCTAATAACTATGGTTCGATTCAAAAACAAATATTGGGAAAGGAATTAAAGTAATGCAGCTGATGACTTTGCTGTCTGCAGAGCTGCTCAAATTTTCAGTACTATCCAGCGTGTTTATTCAGTAAACAGGGGAAATTTATTTATGTAATTTTGCTCCTAAGAATCTCTTTTGGGCGGAGCGTCCCAATATAGGCCAAAATGGGATGTATCCCCCCAACTCAGCGAAAAATAGATACTGCAGGGTTTGTACAGGTCATGGAAAACCTGGAAAGTCATGGAATTAAACAATAAGTTATTTCATTTTCCAGGCCTGGAAAGTCATGGAATATAATAATATTGTTGGTCCTCAAAAGTTATGGAAAATTAAAGTTTTGTTTGATAGATTACTAATGTAGATGATGAAGCAGGGACAATGTGAGATAGAGAGGAGTAATATTATACAGCGCAAACGGCAATCATTTCAGTGGACATTAGAGTTTGTGTCTGCTGAACTGTTTATGGTCAAAAAATACCTTAAAACAAGGAAAGTTTTGAAAATTTTTGAAAGTAACAGCTAAACTAAGGCCATGGAAAACTTTAAAAGGTCATGGAAAAGGTCATGGAAAGTGATGGAATTTGAAGAGATCAAAAGAGTATGCATCCTATACTGGTACTTCTCAATTACACAAAGCTCTTTTGGTCCTAAAGATACCAAACTGTTGTGTGTGTAACTTTTAGTAATAGACCCAAGTTAACTCAGTCCCTCTGGTGTTTGAATTAAGGAGGTTTGACTACTAATATTTTAATTTTCTTATGAACACCAAAGGATGTTAAAAACTGGTATAAAAAAGTGTTTGTCAACTTTTAATAATCTTATTGTTTTGCAGTGGAATCTTATCTGTGGGAAGGAATACTTTGCCAGTTTGTCGCAATCAATGCTGTTTATTGGGTGGATCCCAGGAGCATTTATCATCGGAAGATTGTCAGACAAGTTTGGACGCAGACGTGTCTTGTTCCCAGCTGTCTTTGTTGTTGCTGTTACATCATTTGCCAGTTCTTTTGTACCTGTTTTTTGGTAAACTAACATCTGATCTGGCATTGCCTTGTTTGCTTGCTATTGTATTCACTGATACCTTTGAACACAAGCCAATTTACCCCATATAAGGAAATCCAAGACAGTCTTGGATTCTTGATGATAGATTCTGGATTTCAGATACTGGATTCCAGATTTTTTCTGAGTGGAAATTAGATTCCGGATTCAAATTGTTAGTGGGATTCCGGATTCCTTGAGCTGTATTTGGGATTCAAAACCCCAAGGTTCTAGATTCCACAAACAAAAATTTCCCAGATTCCAGAATCTAGTTTCACTTACATAGGGCGAAGCCAATGCTCCGGTAGTACATTACATAATATTGTTAAATGTGCAGGTCTAGAGTATAGCTGTATTGGCTTGTATTTAAAGTTATCAATAAAATAATAATTAATACAATAGCAAGTTGAGGTTAATTTATTGTTTAGTTTAATGGTGGCTTGATCCGGCTTGCCTTTTCCATGTTCCGTTTGATTAAACTCTGCGTAACCTTGATTGTTTACTCATGCCATCATTTTGTGTATGTTTTACTCATTCAAAGGTTGTTCTTGACCCTGCGAGGCATAACAGGTTTCTTCCAAGGGGGAGTTTACATTACTTTATATGTGCTGGTGATAGAGTTTGTTGGCCCCAAACATCGGAGTTTTGTAGGGACCTTGATGTGGATATTTTACACAGGTTCCCTAATGCTACTTAGTGGATTAGCATATGGAATACGCGAGTGGAGAACGCTGTCCATTGTGATCTCAGCGCCAGCATTTCCATTACTCATCTTTTGGAGGTTTGTGCACTCTCAGAGAGGGGTTGACTGAATCCCTAGGTAGAAACCTAGGTATATAGCACTTGCCATCAGGGCATTAAATAGTAATGTTCCTATTGTACTTCCCCATGCACCAAATACAGATTGTACCCCTCCATGTTAAAGTCAAAAACTGTAAATAAGAAAACATCTTTGCTGCTTTCATTTTTCTTTGTGTTAAGAAATTACAAGAACTACACCATTTTGACCATCATTTATCCAAGTTTTCTCAAGTATTTGCCATCGCGAAAAATCATCTCCTCGTGCTCTCTATCTGATTTTTTAAGAAATCCTTTAGCATCCTTTTTGTTGTTCTGAGGTTTTCATTCTCAGGGAAAATATATCTTGTTTTTAAATCAAAACTATGAGATTGAAGATGCTACACAGCTGTTATTGGACCTTGTTCTCAGCTGGAGCACCATTTTTTTACCAGCACTATAATGATTATATAAGAAGGTTAATAAGAAAATAGGGAACTGTAAAGTTCAGTCAATAGATCCCAGGAAATTCCACAGTGGCATTTACCAACTGAATCTGTGAGTACTTGAATCATTTACCAACAAGAAAAATATAGCTGAACCTGTATTAAGCGGCACGGCCATGTTAAGCAGTCAGTTTTCAAAGTCCCGAAAATTACCCCCCTTGATGTACTGTGTTTTCAACCTCTATTAAACGGTCACCTCTATTATGCGGCCACAGTCACCATTTGCGAAGTTCCAATGGGACCTTTTCTATTGTCTTGACCTGTATTATATTAAATGGTCACATGGTGTCAATTACTTGTTCATACAGTTTTAAATACTGTAACACATGAGGCAGAACAATAATTGTCGCAAAAATAAACAAGGAAATCAACATTGATTTCCTTGTTTATTTTCGTAAATCCTTAAAATGCTGGAAATGTCGAATGTTTCTATTTGAGGTCAAACGTCTGATCTGATCAGCACTGGAGATCGAATTCTTTGAACTGTATTTCTTGCAACCTGTATTAGGTTGTCACCCCCGTATTAAGTGGTCACTTAGCCATTCCCTGAGGGTGACCACTTAATACCGGTTTGACTGTATTGTCTTAGACTGCCAACTGGTAGTCTTCTTCATAGCTGCTCGGGCCGGAGTCAGACAAGCTCCACTTGGGGCGGGAAGCTTGCGTGACTCCAGCTTGAGCAGCTGTGAAGAAGACTAGCCACCTGGAAACTTGCTCTGACATTTACCTTAAGTGATTAATTGTCCTTTCTTGCATGGATGGTGTTTTAGTTTATAAAATTACCTAGAGATGAGTCGAACTTATAAAGAGTCTTAACAGTCAGGCCTTTTTTTCCAAGGTGGGTTCCAGAGTCATGCCGGTGGCTGATAGTTCACAATAAAGCAGAAGAAGCTGTAAAGGTTTTTTCATCTATCGCTTCAGCAAATAACGCAAACCTTCCTGATGATAAACTGCATGTTGAAATGAGAGAAGAGGCTGTGAATGAGGGTGGATTCTTGGATCTGTTTCGTACAAAAACTCAGTGTGCTAAGACTCTCATTCTTTGGCTTTGTTGGTAAGTAAAAGACTTCCCCTCTGTAAAATAAGAGAGGAAAGTTTTTTTATTAAAGTACTTGAAAAATTAACCATTCAAGATGCTGTGAACTTGTCTAATAGTTATGGTCAGTGGAACCATCACATTTGGTCTAATCCAGCGAATAAATCTATCCTAGACAATGAGGGACCGTAAGCTGGGGCCTGGGTTTGTTTAGAAAACTTTTTGGAGGACATTTTGTGAGAGCTTAATAGCCTGTGAGTGGTGATGGGTCACTAATCTTTTGTCGCTTGCTCGCACATTACCCATGACCCTTGCAACTATGACCTCCAGCAAAATCACTGAGGAACTTTGTGGCTGGCAAGGAAAGCTGGAACCTTGCAAAAGAAGTCAATAATGTATAATATTCCATACCTAAAAGATTGGGTACACTGTAGTTAAAACTGTTGACTGATTGCTGTCATTAAATTCATATGATTTCAGGTTCACTAATTCCATGGTTTATTATGGAGTTCTGTTGAGTGTTGGAGTGCTCGGTGGAAGTTTGTATCTCAACTTTTTCCTCACAAGTGTCATTGATATTCCAAGCAATCTTTTTGTCATATGGTTCATGGGCTGGTAAGTATGATAATATGTTAAGAGTGTTCTGCAACTTTCTGATGAATTCTCTTGTCAGACAGTCTCTAATACAGTTAAATAGTTGACTGTCAATCATACAGTCTGTCAATCAGGAGTCAGTCAGAGAGTGGTCAGTCAGTCAGACAGTCAGACAGTCATCTGTCAATCAATCAGAGTTATAGTCAGGAAGACAGTATCGTGGGTAGAATTTCCATAAGACATTTATTTAGTACACAAAATATACATTCACACAGTTTTAGAGAATTATTTGGATAGCGACATTGTCAGAGAAACTATCCATTTGACCACACAGTTGTTAGAAGGACAGAGACAGTCAGACAGTAAGTCGGTCAGTCTGTCAGTCCGTTAAAACGCCAGCAACCCTCAGCTTAAGTTGTTTAGTCAAGTGGACAGCGAAACTGTCTTTATCAATTCAACAGGACACCAAATTGGTTGGGCTACCTATTCATCATTCACTTTAATAGGCGCGTAATTTACCATCACCAAAAATACTACCACGCCGACCGATGAAACACTATTAAACTAAGTAAAACTGATGCTGTCAAAGGAATGTGAGATTGGATCTCAATTTTTCTTCAAGTCGATATGAACTGATGTAGAAATATTTCTTTATATTTTTTTCAGGCAAAGACCAATTTTGTGTAAAAGGTTTTATGGTAGAAAGAGAGCGTTAATTCTTTGTATGACCATGGCAGCCGTGTTTTGTCTCATCGTTTCTGTGATACAAGAGCTCACCGATTCAGGTAACGGCTAGATGTAGATAAATGCAAGACACTAACTTAAAGGTATGTTCACACTTACTCGAAACATGTGAAGCGTAGCGAAAAATGAAACACTTTTCACCAAGTTTTACGTTCAAACTTAGCCGGGTCCTGCTCTCTTCTGAAACAGGCTCAAAGAACGGTTTATCAGAGCTTAATTAAAATTATCTTGCGATGTTGTTTTGATCACCTTTACGCAGAAGTTAAACGAACGTGAACGTAAAACACAGAAGATGGCAGAAGGCAGTAATTTTGTAGTACTTGTACGCACGCCTTACGTGCCTACTTAAGTTAACCGGATACATTCGGGGTTCAAGTGCAAATAATGGAGTGCGCGTTTCTGTTAATCTGCAGATACCTAAAACCCTATATCAAACTGTTGCTTATTCAACTGTCTAGTTCCTAGTTTTTTACTGCAGGCGCCCGAATAAGTTTTTGGACTTTTGACAGTACTTTTTGGGTCTCTTTAGCTAGAATCCGATAAAGGGAAATCTGATAACGGCACTGTATACGGTCTTTTTAGCGCGAATCAGATGGAGGGAACATACCGGTACTCTTGGAGTGTCTGTTAGCCAGAATCAGATGAAGGGAACATAGCGGTACACTCGGGCTTAGTTTCTAAGTATAACTTAAGTTTGTAGCCATAGTAATTGGTAGTTCATTATGTTATTTCTTCTTTTCAGGTGTTACAGCTGTGCGCATCATTTTTGCAGTTCTTGGAAAGTTCTGCATCAATGCATCTTTCAGCACAATTTATGTGTTTTCAACTGAGCTCCTTCCTACAGTTATCAGGTTTCACATTGCCACCCGGTTTAGAAGAGTGCCGGTCTGCTGAGGGGCCGAAAGAAAATTTCAGTTAACCACCAATAAAAAAACCAAGGCTTTGTTGGTAAAGACCTGCCGGTTTGGTAATCACCGCCGGAACGAAAAGCGACCGTCCGTCCGCCCCAGTCCCTCAATAAAAAACCAAGGTCTTTGATCAGGTTTTATTTGGAAGGAAATCACATGGCGGAGACGAATTTCGTAGGAAGAAAAACATGGAAATTAAAAGCGGCGGTGAGAAAATGAGAAAAGATAGCGGCCAGTAAGGTGAAAATGAGCGGCAGTGAAAAATAAAAGCGAACATGAACACTGGAAACAAAATATTGGGTAAGCACATGCGACAATTCCTCCATAAAAATAATGTGTAACTAGGAAGTTTGACGTTTTAGGGCCTGTTTACATGGAGTGGGGGACCCCGGTCTAGTGGGGTTGGTTTCTTTTGTTTTCACGCTCTGAGGGACACAAAACAAAAGAAACCTACCCCACTAGACCGGGGTCCCCCACTCCATGTAAACAGGGTCTTAGTCGTACAGAACAGCGTTATAGTCGTGCAAAACAACGGCAAGGGAAGGACAAAAAAAGCGTGCTGCACGTGCAAATTTGTTTTTTGCTAATTAGAAGAAAAACTGTGCTGCACGTGCAATTTGTTTTTTCCTAATTAGATCAATTAGTCTTGAAGCCATTTTCATTGTCGTCCCCGTTTAGCATTACACGATTTAATTTTTTGTTGTTTACACGTATTATTAACCAGAGCTTCGCTTTTAGCCCTGGCTAAATCTATATATTATCTCTGATTCAAACCCTTTTTCAGTTCAGACTTTCGCATCATTTGATTAGGTGGTGAAGTGAAGCCGTTAGCATTGTCTCCCTTATCCTTACACATCCTCTGGCTGCAGTAGAGGGCTGAGAACTGGCAGCGCTTCGGATTTTTACCGTTTCTCATCCACAGTATGCAGAGTTAGAGCCACTTTCTATATGGCAATGAACAGTACCGCAGGAAAGTGCTACTCAGTAGCTTTCATTTGAATGTTCACACTTTAAGATTTCATCCACATACTCAAAAGTTAGAACCACTTTGTACAGCATAATAAACAGTATCACAGGAACGTATTGCACAGTAGCTTTCGTTTGAATGGTCACACGTTAGAATTTCATCCACAGACTCAAAAGTTAGAACCACCTTGTACAACATAATAAACAGCACCACAGGAAAGTACTGCTCAGTAGCTTTCATTTGAATGGTCACACTTTAGAATTTCATCCACAGACTCAAAAGTTAGAACCACCTTGTACAGCATAATAAACAGTACCACAGGAAAGTACTGCTCAGTAGCTTTCATTTGAATGGTCACACTTTAGGATTTCATCCACATACTCAAAAGTTAGAACCACCTTGTACAGCGTAATAAACAGTACCACATGAAACTACTGCTCAGTAGCTTTCATTTGAGTGGTCATTTTAGAATTTCATTCATCCACATACTCAACAGTTAGAACCACCTTGTACAGCACAATAAACAGTACCACAGGAAAGTGCTACTCATGACCAGTAGCTTTCATTTGAATGGTCACACTTAAAGATTTCATCCACATAACAAGGGAAACTGCTCACTTGGCTGACTAGTTTGCTTTCACTTTACAGTGTGCGTTAATTACTCTGAGCAATGAGAGCAGTGGCCAACGATTGGCCAGGTCATATCAGACTCAATTTACACAAAGGAACCAATCAGGTTTCAAAGCTGAATTAATTGTATAATAACAATGGCGGGCTGGGCGCCAAGCGCGAGAGAAGAAAACGTGCGTGAGGAAGTCACAAAAGTTTTTTCTTTTTATTGTGTTTTTGAAGGAACGTCGGAATGGGAAGCATGGCGGTATTTGATCAAACTGGTGCCAGCATCGCTCCGTTCGTTGTGTTACTGGTACGTTTTATACATGGTTGTAGTTAGGGACCTTATGCTCCTACAACGCAAAAGTCAATAAATTAACCTCACATCCCTACAGATCTAGGCGGTTAATAAGAGTTGAGAAATTAAGTCGCAACACAAGGGAACAGACAGGTACAGTTAAAAATTCATTCAAAATTTTCTCTGTACCTGATTAGCTTTAATCCATCATCTAATTCTTCATAAAAACCTGCTACAGCTGATCAAACTGACCAAATATGAATTTGGTTTTGCTCTTATCCCGTCATTGAAGTCAGTGACTTAAATCATTGAGGGGAAAATAGCAAATTATTATTCTCACATTTTGTCGCGATTATTTCAACTCACTGTAAATGCCAAACTGTGGGTGAAATTCCCTGGAGTTTAATTTTAGACAACCGCGCCAAAGTTTAGAACGAGAAGAGAAAGAAAAATTCGTTTTTGTGAGTTTACGTACTTCATATAACGTCCATATGACGCCTCACAAGGCGATTTCACGTCCTAGAAGTGCAGTGACGGCGAAGAAGTGTGCCAAAATGTGTGATCCTTGCGTAGAGTTGTTCAGCTATTGCTTTTTGAAGTTATCGTTGCCTTCGCTGTCGTTGTTGCTAAAATTTCCTTTATATTGATTGACGCCGAGCCTTCAGCAAACTAGCTGAGGCAGGCAACTGCCGTAGGCCATATCACAGCGTTTTCACGGACTGGTTTATTTTTAGATACATTTGGGAGCACTTTTTCCCGCGAAAATGGAAGTTCCGCTCCGTCTGTTGGCGCATTCAGAGTGTGTCAAAGGAAATTGAAAAGCAATTTTAAAAAGGTCAAAAATACTATTTTCAGGTCTTTTGGTTTTGCTGGCTAGTTTGTAGGACTAGCACGATATTCTAAATTCGCTCTAAAAATAAACTTGTCGATGAAAACGCCGCGACATGAGTAAATGGAAATTGCTCTCTCCGGGTTCATGGACTCCTGTAGCCTGCGTAGCAGGCGCTAGGAAATAAATGGGCGCAAGGAAAAACGCGCGCGAGAGAAGAAGACACGCGTGTCTCCCTCGCACACGCCCGTTCTTTCTTGCGCCCATTTACTTCTTAGCACCTGCTACGCAGGCTAGGACTCGTGGTGAAAGCAATTTTTGTCTCCTTTTAATTTTTTAGGGAAAGACCCATCCTGTGATTCCTTTCGCGATCATGAGTGGATTTGCATTCACTGCTGGTTGTTTATGTGGGTTACTTCCGGAAACTCTGGGAAAGCATACTCTGGAAACGTTAAAAGATTCAACAGAGATGAATTCAAGGCAGGAGGGTGGCACCAATGATCCGCTTTTAACCACACCCAAGGATTTGGGTCCAAGGGCCATTTAAACTACCGGCAAAGGTCCTCTGACCATATCTGTTTTAGCCCCACAGGTTTTACTATTTTTGTACCAGGGTTGGCTTAAAAGTACCGGCTAGTTTGCTCGTAAAGGTCTTTTATTCCCGCGGGTATTTTTAGTTTACCCTAGGGTTGGTCGTGGCTTAATGCTCCACCCTCGAACGGAGTCTATAGTAACAACAAAACAGCATCGGAACAACAACCAAAAACTTTAAATATTGTTCGTTAGAATATTGTATATTTTCTTAGATATTTTATTCTAAAGTATACAGCGTGTTATTGCGTTCGAGGTAGGAGAACGCAACCTCTAATTTTTTGGGTGTTTTGTGCATTATTGTCCTGTGCAATTAATAAGCGAGGTTTTTCAGATTGCATTTGTGTCGACACACATTTGCCTAGACTTTCAAAAAAGTCCTTCTTCGGATTTAATATGGCGCGGCCTCTCGCGACTTCGTCGCTCGGTCGGCCGCTTTCCGGCCTAAAAACCCTCGCTCCGCTCGCCAAGAGGTCGACTTGTAGCAAGTCTAACATGTGCCTCGCTTTGAGGCGCTTGTTTACGTTTTGTCTCACTTTGACGCTCAAAACTAACGTAGTGATACATGTGTCCTCAGCGTTCATCTTTCAAACGTTTGCTGAGGTCTGCTATTCTGTCTTCGTAAAGCGTTCATCTTTTAAAAGTTTGCTGAAACATTTCGTAAAGCGGACATATTTCAAGAGTTTTGTGAAGGTCTACTAGATCATTCTCTCTTGAAAACATTCATCTTTCAAAGGTTTGCTGAAGTACAACACCCTGAGTAAAATTTTACTTTCGATTAAGCCTTCATATTTTTCAGTATGAGTCGTCACTATCTTTGGAAATGTGTGCGACTCATGGTGCATGCCTCAAACCGCGTGTTTTGCTCTGCGGCCGTTGTGCCACAGAGTAAATTTACTGAGTTGTGTAGCTTGGTGTCCGTTGTGCCAAAAAGTAAATCTACGGAGTTGTGTAGCTCGGCGGCCGTTGTGCCATAAAGTAACCGAGATATGAAGCTCGGCGGCGCCATTTCATCATGACTTATGATATTTTCGGCACCGGACAAACGAACATTTTAGCTCTATGTTATTTATTCGGAAAAACCTATAAACCAGCTCACGGTTGCGCCACTCAAGTCACTGAATTCAACACACTCGACCAAGTTACTGGAAAAGTTATTGACGTGAGCCGCACACACGTTCCACTGACTTAGACTTTGATGATTCCCTTGAAACGTGTTAAATTGAGAGATGTTGTGTAAGTGAACCAGTGTTCAAACACAATTCATTGTGCCCCAGCGTTCACCACGAAAACTGTGGTCTTGGGTCTTTATCCTGTTTATTAACACAAGTTAAAAAGACTTGCCAGTAACGGTTTCATTTTATAGTATAATTCAGTAATTGTCTCCATGTGGAATTCCCAATAAATAAAATTAATGATTACATCTAAAACGTTGTCAACTGTTTGATTTTTAACAACACCTGGGCCGGGTTGTTCAAAGCTGGGTTAAGATGACCCAAGGTTAGGGCGAAATTTTAATTCAATTCAGTTTAATTCACTGTTTTGTCAACAAGTTGATGATTGAATACTCTTAAAAATAAAGGAGAAAATTATCCGAAGAAATGTTTTTGAAAACGTAACCCGGGTTAAGCGCTAATCGGCCTTCGAACAACTGCGCCCTGCAGAACATCTATGGCAACAGTAAAACAAAAAGTTATATTTAGGCGCCCGACGCACTCTGGCCAGTGTCTCCTCAAAGTACAAGCACTTCAGATGAACCATACGATGTCACTAGCCTTCAAAACATTTTCTAAATTATTTAATGATTCAAATAGAGGTTTCGCTGTTTCGTTCAAAATATGCCGTAATCATATTTGTCCATCGCAAGAACCATCCACCCTTCCCCCTCAACTGCTACCAGTTCGCCTAACAACATATCGAACGCACTCGCCTAAGCTCCGATTACTCCTAGTTTTAACATAAAAAAATGACAAATTATATTAATGGTTACCCCAATCGCGTTAAAAAAATCTTCAGAACGCATTCTAATCTTGGTGTTCCTGTGGTCAAGCCACAAATTTTCGAGGTATCGGGGGCAACTGCCGATTAGCCGCCCCCACTGATTTTATCAGGGGCATCTCGGTCGGGAAACTGGACTCCTTTCGACTCGATTGAAAGTGACGAAAGCGGATCCCTAATCAATGATTACCTCTAGTTATATGACTGATCTAACTTATTGTGATGTTATGTTATCTACCTTGCCTATTTTCTACTGCGATGTGGCCTTTTTTGCCTTGGTATCTATTTACTAGCATTGATATTAGGGTAAAATAATACACACTATGGTGGTAAAATCAATTTACTATCGCGATGGAATATTTTCTACTTTGGTATCAATTTACTTCCTTGATGCAATTGAGGACGTAAATATCAATTGACTATCACGGAAGTAAATTGATATGAAGGAAGAAATACTTTCAACTCTTGCCTCGTGGACAGCACGCTTTTACAACACCCCAATAATCACATTTGCATAAATATACTTTTTCGCTTGCCGCGCGTGAATGACGACCGCTCGCGGGCCTACCTAACAGTTTCCACGCGACGTTAAGATGTACCGGTCGTGATATGCAAGGCTGGCTCCTGGCTAGCCTGCGCGGAGCTCTCGCACATCATCTCTCTTACACGAAGGCTAACATTAAGCTTTTGATTAAAAAGTGGAGCCAGGTAGGCTCCTTGCCAGGTGCATAGCCTTCGCTACCCCGGCCCCCAGGGGAATGCTCCCATATATGGGCTATACCGGTATGTGCCGCTGCACAGGGCAAGCTTTTTGAAAGCACCCTTTTTCTCCATAAGAGGGGAATATTTTAGCATACATTGACTCAGGACAGAGTCCATTTTTCCCCGTATTTAATGCCTGATTATTCTCGATTAGGCTAGTTCATCATGTTTTAGGTACAAAACTACACTACACGCCTCTCTAGTAGTTTTATCACTGAGTCAGCCACAGAAACAGGGTCCCTATTTTTTACAATTCTTGTCCGGAATTGGGAGAGGGAAGCAAATTCATCTCTTTTTGTCTGGAACGCGTCCAGAGTCAAAGACTCAGCGGCACAAGTAGCGCAGTCCTCTCCCCCGTCAGCCTCGTTCCCAGGGATTTTCCTTTGGTTCCCCATGCAAAACAAATGAAAAATCGTCTGTCAACTCATCGAAAATGTTGTCGATGCTTTAAAAAAGTGAAAGCCTCGTATGGTCAACAAATATCACGGATGTACAGGTAGGGAACAACTCTCTCATTCCCTCACCACCGCCGCCGCGAGCAATATTTTTACGTGATTCAATTATACAGAACCCGGATATGATCGCGTTCAACGTTGCGTGACATTTGCCCCACCCGGACACCACTCAAAGCTCAAGTGTTTGACCAATCGGATTACGTTCTTGAACATGGGTTATCCAATAAGAACGCACCAGGAAACAATGTTTGGAATGTATGTTGGAAAGCGTCGTTAGATGTTCACGTGACGATGCGGAGCGTGGTTTCTGACTGAATCCACCATCTTTAGTGTCATGGATTCAAAACTATGGGTGTCGGTTCTGTGGCTCTTTCACTTTCTGGCAATCGTCTTTGCAGGTAAGAAACAGATCAGGCTTTGCAGAGGTTGTCTTATGCTTGATTCTAGCCCGAAAATTCTTCAGCTCGTTGCAAAGTGTTATTCAAGGCGGGAACGCTGTTTTTCGACCCAACCTACCCATCAACTTTAAATTATCGGTTATGTGGTTATCATCCGTTGATGACTTGAGTATATTAACTTCACTATTCGCTCTACTGTTTCCACAGAGGATAAACATATTTGTGTCCTTAAGTAATGTTAATTTATGGCCGAGAAAGGGGCTATTGGACGCAGAAAGGTTCGATCGTGGTTTGTCAAACGTACGTGTTTTTGTAAAGTGATCGGTCGTTGCAGTGTAAATCATACTCTTGTTTTGCTGTTTCGATATGAAAAGTATCACACGTGGCTTACATAGAGATCGAGACACAATGTATCATCACTCGAGGTTTTGCCTTGTAATTGTTGATTACACTCCCACAAGGCGGTCTGTAGATTCCGACTATTGCGTGATCTGTAAATGCTTGTTATTGAAAATATTCGAAGTTTTGTCCACAGAAGCGTGAAACACAGCATGACTAGGAAGCAAGATCTTTTCTACCTTTGTACAGTTGTTTATTGTGTATACTCTAGTGAAAATTTTGATATATTTTGCTTGTGTGTTTGTCAAGTTGGTTTTTCAGAAATCAAAGGACGATGTTCGTATCATTTTAATGTTGTGGTTATCATTTGCGACACATTCTTATCTTTTTGATACAAAAACCTCACAGGAATTTCCTTCATTCATAAATGTGTTTGTTTTGATTGCAATTCATTTCAGATTATCCGGGACTTTGAACAATGAGGGTTTATTCTCTGTAAATTTTTGTGGACTAAATAAAAGCTCAGGTTTAGTGTACAGTACCCATCCACAACATCACGTATGTGCTTGTGGAGCAAAATATCCAACTTTTATCAATCGGCCTTCAACGAAATTATTCTCTTTTTTTTTCATTTTCACTTTTCTAGATAAAATTTAATTGCATAATTTTTCAATAATTTTGTTTGATGATTCTTATATTACGCATCAATACTGCAAGTCGAATCATACATGTGTAGTTTCCTTGTCATATTTTTATTTTAATGAGATGATGTCATTGTGAAAATATAGTTAGGTTACTAGTGTGAGCATTTACTGTCCCAATAGATATTTCTGTTGTTGGGTCATTAATTGTTTCATAGCTAGGTAGATGGAAGACGTTGTCAGTTTCCTCATTCCATCGATACTTTTGCTATTCACCAATAATTTTGCCAAGAGTTTATTTGTTTGCATTCACCAAAGTGCCTCTAATCTAACACAATTTTATTTGTTAAATGTATTTTTTGTGCAGAAATCCAACGGAATGGTGAAAAAAATTGGACAAAACTTTTTTGGAGTTTCAACTGTATTTCCTTTTTTATTGTTTTGTTACTTTTTTTCTTTAGTGTCTCGCCAGTTTACTGGAAGTGGTTTTGTGGAGTACAACGTTAAATCAGCCATTTATTCTGATGACTCTGAGTTAAAACTTACCTTCAGGACGGTACAACCCTCTGGGCTTCTGTTTCAGTCAACAAGTTCAGGAGGTGATTGGGCAGACTATATTACCCTTGAAATTGTTGGAGGAAGGTTAAGGTGTGTCTACATGTACCTTATTACGCACTGTTCTCATTAGGTATTTTAGGCTAGGTGGGCCACCTTGCTTGGTTCATGGGAAAATCAGTGACGTCTGTTTTAAAACCCAAAGATTTAACCCAACAAAAGCTTATTTTGATGTCTAGAACCAGGTATTTAAAAAAAAAATCGCTCAAAAAAGTTCATGAAACATTGTCTGGTGGTTTTATTTGTGTGTTTTCTCCCAACTTATTGATTATAAAAGACTGTGATTTATTGTTGGATGAACATGTTTAAATCTGTTGTTTTGCTGAAAGGCAGCCATCTTGAAATTGTTCCAGAAACAAAAGGGTCCATCAAGGGGCTTACATGTAGTGCTATACAAAATTCACTTGCTCGCCTTTTAAGGTTTCAAATCGACTGGGACTCTGTGACATGTATTACGTATTCTACAGACTACTTTCAACGACTCACTTTAGAGAGCTGGTTTACTAACTTGAAAGAAATACTGCTGTATCGTAGTCAACAGTTACAGAGCTTCAAATAATTTCCCGGCTGGCGCCGGTCAAGTTGTCCAGTCAAACTTATTTTTGCTCTGACACAACCCATTTTGGGCCGGACGTGTCTTTCATCTAGGACTATCTGATTGCACTTTACAGTGAAATATGTGCCGACTGTTATAATAATACTTTAAAACACTACACACCCTACTCTTGAGTTTGCGGTGACAATAACTCACAGCTCCTGGAAAATGAAAAACCACTGTTACCACCCTGCTGCGCTGGGCTTCTAAAATTTCTCTCAGTCACAGAGCCGTGAAATTCAGGTAAATCCATGAAATTCACAAAGAAATCTTACCAAATACATCTCAGTTCAACATATTTAAGACTTATCTCGGCTTATGGGGGTGTTTTTTGCCATAAACTTGCAAATTTATCTTGAAACTTCGTCACTGCAATGAGAAAACGTCCCAAAACTACCAGGTGTTCTTAGATGATTATTGCAAAAAACTGGGAACTGGCCAGTGCATGATATAAAAAGCTTTGCCATTGGCACATTTCTGAACTCATTGTTGGTAAAAGAGCAAGTGATAATCTCTTTTAAAAAAAATAACCTGTGCGAGTCAATACATTGTCCGTTGACCGGCCGTTATTTGAAGCCCTGCGTTACCGGCACCGTACAAATGACTTATTGACGGAATCAAGCAAAACTATGAGAGACAAATTTTTAACATGAAGATATAATTATGTTATTTTTTATCTGAGGTAATTTTTGTTTTGTTTTTGGTTTTGGGTTTGGTTATTTATGCTAATGAACATGAAACAAACGAAAAAATAACAAAAGTTCCAGTGGATGACATAAGCGCCAATGTGCTGATTCTAATAATACGGCAGGGTTGTCAGAAAGGTTTGAAATAGACGGCTGAGATGTCAAAGTAAGTGGCCAGTCCAGGGATATTTTATTAAAAAAACACCATATGTAAAGAAATGCCAACCATAGTATCCGACCAATACTGATCAAGTAGGCGGCGATTTTCGCTGGCAGCCGGATACTTTTGACAGCCCCAATACGGATAAGTTTCTGATCCATGACGTGAGATATAGATCTATTACTGTTCATTTTCTGTTCCAATTTCCCGATAAGAATACGTAACTAAAGGTTAAGAGATTGATTAAAGAAACATTTAAAAGTAAGGCAACACGTAAACAGTCCTTTGGATGGCTCCTTCAACAACTTCAACGTCAATATCAACATTCTTAATGTCACAGGACACTCTTCTTGTCCTTGATCCTCTTAAGACAAATTAACTCAGATCTTAAGAGTGTGCATGGGGTTCTGGTTCTGGTTCTGATCCAAGAGAGAGTTTTGGCATACTGCTCTATGACTATGATACATCAAGCACTCCTGTCCCATTCCGCAAGTTGTGGTGAAGACCAAATACACAGACATATTTATATGTTATTTGATGATAATAGTAAATACTTAATTATCCTCTTCCCTCATGGGGCTTTTCAGAGATAGTGAAACAAATGATTTTAAATGGGACATAGTAAGGTTAAAAATCTTAACTGGTAGAAGGCGAAGCAGCTGGCTATTGGCTGACAAATGCAGCTACCAGTCAATGCGGGCCTCTGGATTACAAGTCCAGGGCTCTAAACGCTCAGCCACATGACCTCTCTAATGCTTTTAAGACTAAAGGATGTCTGCATCTTACTTACAGATTTGCTGTGCGATATGGATATCGAGAAAACAAAAATGATGCTCATGTACGGTTCTTGGGCAAAGATCTCGATGATGGCAAGGCTCATACAGTTGACGTAGGTCACAAAAACAAAGCTACTACCATAAAACTGGATGATCAAACACCAGAATCAGAAAGAGAAGAGACAAAAATCAACACATATTTTCAAAGGCTTGATATTGATCGGTCTATTTATGTCGGAGGTGCACCTAATTTTAAAGGATTATTATCAGTCCAGTCTAATGCCAACTTTATGGGCTGCCTATCAGATGTAACATTTAACACCCTCTCGCCAAAAAGCTTAGAGATTGATTTCCTCGAAGGAGAAGAAGCTGTCACCTATCCCTCTGATATGAACAAGGACTGTACATTTGAAACCTACTCACCATATACCTTTAGTGCAGCTGATTCGTACTTTAAATGTGACGTGAATGGCTTGGCAACAACATCTGAATTGACGGGAAGTTTTGTGTTCCGAACATATAAGGACTCTGGAACCCTTATTAAGCAAACAAATGGCAACAATGGCTTTGAAATAACCTTTTCATCAAGGTTGATCAAATTATCTTTAAAGATTGCCGGTCAGTCACAGGAGATCATCGCGCAGATTGACTATGGTCTAAGCGAGTTAACTTTCATGAATAATGGAAACTGGCATCAAGTTAAATTCTTCATTACAACGTCATCAATCACATTGGAAGTTGGCACCAAAAGGGACCAGCGTGCAGTGTCTTCGCTTCCTAATAACTTCTTCATAGAAGAGGTAACTGCAGGTGGTTATATTGGTTGCATGCGGAATCTGATAATAAACAAGTTCGATTGCAAGCCAGGTCAAAATTCCAAGATAAAAAATGTTGAATGGAAAGAAAACCCCTGCAATATCACTGACTTTTGTGTGTTTTCTCCCTGCCTGCATGGAGGGAAATGTACCCAGACAGGGAAGGGATTCACTTGCTCTGGATGTGAAGCAAAAGGATATAAAGGCGATGTGTGTCAGTTTTGTAAGTACTCTATAGATCAGATAATACATGCTTTTAGACTCCTCAGTTTAGGGAGCACTTGGTCTGCTTGTCTTATTTCATGCATATTGCTGTTAGTCATTTTTTATGTGTGAAAGGGATAAATTACACCATGTAATTAATTACATTGTGCTGGTTTTGGGTGCACAAACCAGAGCTGTAAATCGGACATCTTGATTTAAGTCATATTTAAATGCAACAGCACAAAATCACAGCATTTAAATTACAAGAATTGAAGGTCTCTATGCAAAAGCATTACTACGACAATGTGGGAATTTTTGAAAGTGTTGCAAAGTCACCCAATCATTTTGTGTACAATTTGGTATCTACTTTTGCACCAAAAAACTGTCTTCATAATGGACAAGTTGTTTCAATCTTATTTTGGGGGGAAACCTGAATCCAATTCCATAAAACATAGATTTGCTAAGGTCTGTGGGAAATATGGTCACCAATGGCCCCCCAAAATTTGGTTGATTAATGAGTGACAGTATTAACAATGGTTTTTACAAGAAAATGTATGGCCGTTTTGCCAGGCAGCAAGATCAAGTAGCTGTAATAACGAGGTGGCCGTAAGGCGGGGTTCCACTGTACAGACTTAGTGTGAGACTCACAAAACCATGAACACCAGAAATGGAATGTTATTGTGTTGCAAGAAATAAGCCAATAAGGGTTGAGATAACTAAACCGCAAACAGCAACGGTAATTCGTTTCTGGTTTTGAGTTTGCTCACGTGTCCTGGACTTTATTGTGATTGGCCAGTACACAATCAACATTCCTGAAATTTTTCAGGTGTTCATGGTTTTCTGAGTTTGACAGTAACTGCTCGCGTCTTATTGATAATAAGACAGAATCTTCTCATCACTGCCAAAAGAGCAACAAGAGAGTACAACAGAGACTGCTGATAGTGTTAGGAATACCATGACAAAAATAATCTGCCTTTTTGGTTTTGTTTGACACATATTATGGAAATCTCCAGGTTTTTGGGAGCTTTTTTTCAAGCACTCCAGATTTGCATGGTTTAGGGGTTGGAAGGTCTGTTTGAGTCCAAAGGCCTGCATACTGACCTGTATGCATTTTGAAAGAAGAAAGGGGTAATAAATAAAAATGGTTACTTTTTCTTTCCGTCATCAGCAAGACACCATTCCACATGTGATAGTTTAAAGAGAGACAAAACCGAGATAACTGATGCTGATAAAAATTACACCCTTGATGTTGATGGTCCAGGACCCCTTAAGCCTCAACAAGTCTTCTGCAACATGACTGCTGATCCGCCGATCACAGGGATTTTTACAAAAAATATTGGAGTAAGACTTTACTCATCTGATGCATTCATTTCCCAGGCTATAAGTTATATCCCCAGCCTTGCTGCAGCCAAAGCCCTGGCCATGAACAGTAAGACATGCCAGCAGTATGTTGAATTTGGCTGCAGAAAAAATCAGTTGTTAGAGGGCAAGGCCTCAAGCTGGGTTGCAGCAAATGGAATTTATCAAAATTACTGGGGAGGGGGTACGCCAGAGTCTGAAGCATGCAACTGCTGGAACACAAAAAGTTGTTTGGATAAGTCTAAACGGTGCAACTGTGATGCCCAGAGAGACAGCTGGGCCTCAGATAGTGGGTATTTGAATTCGTCGACTTTGCTACCTGTTACTGAGTTGGTATTTACAAAATTCAGCCCCTCCGGAGAAGCAAACTACACTGTTGGCAGGCTTAATTGTATAGGTAAGTGTTATTGATGTTCCTCCTTAACTTTACAAGGATGTACACTGTGCAGTATAGGGCTAAGGGTTAACAATAACTGCTAGTGAGCTGGAAAACTGACTTTCTTTGCACCCTGTCAAGGCCACTTTGAATTGGGCTGGAGTTATTAAGCTTTTTATGCCAAATCCTGAAACATTGGTCTGAATAAGAAACTCTCCTTTAGAACTTCTTCTTTAACATTTGCTGCTTAATATTAATGAGTTTTGTGGCCTAACAAATATGACTGAAAATGCTACTTGATTGGCTAACACTACTGATAACTGTCAGTAGCGTTTTCAGATCACTGAAAGGTAGCTGACACTAACGATCATGCGAGGGAATATTGTTAGTGTATGTTTTTCCAGAGAAGGCCTCATTATTATTGTCAGCATTCGTTATGGCCTGAAATAAACCAACAAAGGATTAAACACAACAAAAATAACTGATACCGTACGATAAAAAAATTGTACCCCTTCCAGCTACCAACTCAAGAACACTGTATCCCTTTTACATAGTAAACCATTGGGATGAAGTTAATGTATGATATTCAAAAGAACAAATAACTGTAAATTATATGACCACAAGGTACCGCTGTTTGAAAGGTTTCTTGATCCTCTTGTATTCTTCAACTTGTGAAATTGCATTACAGATGAAGCCTTAAAAAGATTTTCTTTTGGCCAGAGCTTCCCTCTGGTAGAGAGCTTTATAATATATTTGAGGACGAGTACCTGTGCAAGATTTAACTTTATAGTTTTTGTGCGTGTTCACCAAAAAAGTTTGTACAGTTATTTATACCGAAGGAGGTCAAGCCCTCTCCCAATAGCAAAGTGATAAAACTTCTCACATTTGATAACTTTTTGCAGCGGCTATGACATTCTCGCTAAAACTTGTTGTGGAATGACGATGGCAGCTATCATGTTTTTCTGCCAAAATGACACTGGTTTACGCGCCCAGCCTCGAATAAGCGCCCACCTCCTCCTCCTCCTCGCAATCGAACTCAAATAAGTGCTCACCCCCACCCCACCCACCCATGTGAATAAATTCTAATAAGAGACTTCCCTGAGGACGGAGTTTTCTTCAGAATATTTTACAGAAACCTTGCTTTGTTACTTCTTCGCATTTTGTTATTAGCATTTATTGTTTTGTTGCTGAAAATGGTGAAAATTTAAAGTGTCCAGCCTCGAATAAGTGCCCACTCTCATGGTCCAAAAATTCAATAAGCACCCAGGGTGGTTAATCAAATAAATACGGTAGTTCAAAAGAAGTCAGGGCGTTTGGGGCCTTGATCCGTGGCTGTCTTGATGATCTGTTGCTTTGTTTTTTTAACAGTTCTGTAATTTTAAAAGTGAAAATAGTAAATGATTTCTCTGTTTTATTTAGGTAATATCAGCAACACAGCAACCTTTGTCAATGAAGATGGCTTCATCTTCCTTGACCCCTGGGAACCCCCATCAGATGGTGTTATCTCACTGTACTTCAAAACCCCTTATGCCAAAGGAACATTACTGTACAATGGTGTGGATAATGAGGATTACTTCCACCTCAAAATCCTCAATGAAACCACCATGCGTCTTTTGTACAACATAGGAAACGGTGTAAACAACGTTGATTTAGAATTACCAGACAATAAGAAACTGAATGATCGGTCGTGGCACAAGGTTGTTGTTTATCGCAACATGAAGGAGTTTGGTTTGAAGCTGGATAATTTGGATGGCCGAAATCTTAATCCCCTGTTTCTAGAAAGAGACTTAGATGTACCGGTAGACAGAGAACTGCATGTTGGGACCTACCGCTATGATGTTTCAAAAGGATTTGTGGGGTGCATACGAGGATTGGTAAGAAAGTTTATTTTGTTAAAAACTTTTCATCCATAGAGTTGAAAATAATCTTATTAGTAGAACCTGGCTTATAATGTTAAATAATATCACAGGAAAGTACCAATCTGGTATTTGTACCTCAGGGTTACATGTTTAAACTAAAAAGCACAACCGCCTTGTTTTGTATTTTTTTTTGTTTTATTTTTACAGCCACCTTGTTGGCCTTAGATTGTGAATACAGCCATCTTTTATCTTTTTTTGCTCCTTGCCACAAAGGATGCATTAATGGTATTGCAAACGAGACGTCTGCATTTTACACCCAAACATTGCTCATGAATGATTATGAAATCTCAGTGGATTCGCAATACTGCCTTTAGATACCTGGATGCAAAAAATGTTGGAAAATTACGTGTAATTCCGTGGGGTTCTCATTATTCAGAATTGAATAAGAAACATAAGCTGTTGAAAAGAAACTGAAAAAAAAATCGGGCTTGCGCGGGATTTTAACGGTGACCTTTGCAATGACCTAATGCAGTGCTCTATCCATCAAGTATGTATTCATAGAGCATTGCGTCTGATCATCGCAAAGGTCAGGGTTCGATTCCCAGTCAAGCCTGAAAATTTTTTCAGTTTTTTTTTTCAACCACTTAGGCTGGTTATTTAACTGTGAGGACCATAATTTTTTCCACTTTCATATCTTTATTCGCAGTTCAAAATATGAGTCATTTCATATATTTCCATTTAATGAAATTGTTGATTAATGTGGAAAATAAATACCATAATCTTCTTAAAACTTGGGTAGCTTAAAGAAAATTGTGACAGGATTTCCATATCAGCCAACTGTGTGATTTCTCTGAGGAGCACTTTACATCCAGTACTTGTCTTACACCTGTATTGTCATTAGAAGGACTAAAATATCGTAGATTTTAGAGGTTCTGTTTGTTGTTTCCAAGGCTAAGTAGCCTTATTAAATAGTAGGCATTTCAGTCTGTTCCTTGTATTTTGTCCAGATTATGCACTGTCATTAGATTATGGTGTGTTACATGTATGATTTCTTAAAAATTATGCAATTGGGTGCGATTTGGAATTAACTATGCAAAATTGCACCATTGTGTAATATCAGAAGCCCTGTCACAAAGTTTTTCTTTCCAGATTAACCAGCAGGTGAATTTCCTTTCGCAGGGAAAGACAAACTTTGTGCACAAGGTCCATTTGAGTGCAAAGACTGCAAAGCTTTGCTTAGTTACCGGTGACTGGCCTTTTCACAGGTGGCCAAAGTTGCCGGTCGCCGCCTGAAAAGGAAAACCCTGTGTCATCTCAAATTCCATTGATAAATACATTTGTCTGCAATTTTGTTTGCAAAAACAAACACAGAACTAAAAACATTTTCTTTTTCTAAATCTGCATCAATTTCAGCCCCAACGTTCCTATGAGACAAGGTCCTGTGAATAATATTGTACATATTCAATGTTTTTCGCAGTACTATGACATAAAGTTAAATTTTAATGTTAGGTTTTTTTCCTCACAGACCATTAATGGAAAGGTTCAGAACTTGTGCAAGTTGGCAGCTAATAGAGATTACGTGGAGTGTGGTTGTGGAGCAGCATGTGCTAACCATTCGTGCCGGCACGGGGGAAAATGTCTGGATAATTACAATGTTTATTCTTGTGACTGCAGCAAGACTCCATTTTATGGTTACTTTTGTCAGCGGGGTAAGCTTTCTGTTAGTGATGATGATGATGATGATGGTGATACTGAGTGAAACATAAAAATAACTGCTCAAACCATGAAAAGGAGGCAGGGGCACCCAACGACTGTTTTCATTAAAATATCTGTTCAGAGAAGCAAATATTGCCTAGAATTTTCTATTTCTTGGGGAAGGCTAAAAATTTCTAGATGACTGTTTTTTTCATGTACAGTTTTCCAAGCTTATGTAATAAATCCCGCACAATTTTGTCAAGTTTAATTTTTCACATTTCACTGCTGAGGTTATACTATTTTTCGTAGAAAAAAGGAAACCTAAAATTTTTGAATTCAAAAATGCAATGGAGCGAGGAATCAGAAAATGCCCCTCTTTCGTATCATGTCAAATTGCATCTAAAATTTGCGGGAAAATAATACTCAAGCCCTTGTAATTTGGAAAAGACTCAGGTTGACCTAGGATGACCGAACAGATACAAATTTTATGGCGCCGCTTAGAATGCATTTAAAGAGATCTAAAGTACTCTGGATAGCCTAAAAAGTGTTTTCAATGACTAGGAGGAAACCGTCACTGGGTGCCCCTGAGGAGGTACATGTATAAATAACGCAGCAAACACAAAAAGGAGCTTGGATGGCACAAACTTGAAGACGATTGAAATGGATTGTAATTATTGTTGTTTTTGAAAACTTGTTTGACTCACAGGTTTTCAAAGTTCGTTTTGGTTGTTTGTAACAATTCATATACAGTTGATCCTCCACTCATGGCTGCCTCTCCACAACGGCCATTTTTTTTGGCGAACAGTCCCTACACTGACTCTTGTTTCAACCTCTCTGCAACAGTCACCTCTCTACAATGGCCACTTTCTTCTGTCCCCAAGGTGGCCATTGTAGAGCAGACTACGAGCAGTCTCTCTTTTTTCTATAGTCCGTCGAGCAAAATGCGAGACACGCAAATGGCCGCGCGCGTGACTGATGGCGCGAGATGGGAGAGGCAGGAAAAAAGATTTTTTTTTCCTTCTCGGGCTGCCGCCCTCGTTTCGCGCGTCTCACGGCTTCGCTTCTCCCACGCGCGTGCACTGCTCTCACTAAATCTGAAGAAAAAAAGAGACTGCTCGCAGTGTATTTTAGAGGGTTCAACTGTAATGCGCACAAGACATATTTGTTTGACATGAAGTTGTGATTTTGCCATTCACAAGAAATTTCTCAAGTTCCATAGTGAATAAGGACACACAATTGGTATTAATAACAATGAACAAGACTACCGTGACACGGCCTTTTCAAGACGTAACAACTGAATTACAGGTCAATTTAGGTTTCTGGGAAACTGACCACCCACCCCTCCCCTTAGTCAACATTATCACGTACTTCCCTCTTTGGGCAAACTCTTGGCTTAGGGGAGGGGTAGGTGGGCAGTTTCCCAGAAACCTAATTGATCGGACGTAATTTATATTTCAGATAAAGGTGCATCCTTTGATGAGAGAGACAGCTTGGAAAGTGACCACCCACCCCTCCCCTTAGTCAACATTATCACTTACTTCCCACTTAGGGCAAACTGTTGGCTTAGGGAAGGGGTAGGTTTGCAGTTTCCCAGAAACCTAATTGATCCGACGTAATTATATTTCAGATAAAGGTGCATCCTTTGATGAGAAAGACAGCCAGTTAACATACACGTATCCAACTCCTGCGTCAGTGCCGAATGTCGACATTGTAGTTGGCTTCAAAGTAGGAAAAGACAAGCCTTGCGCTGGGGACATAGTTCGAATTGATAGCAAAGATACCGAGCAATACTACCTGGTAACGCTCTTCGCTGAGAGCGAGAAACTCAGATTTTATTTCAGGGGTCCCCAAGGAGAGGCTTTTGAGGAGTTTGATCCCCCTCAGGGCAGATTCTGTGAAGGAAGACACACGTTTGCGGTTACTCGCAGAGGCAAGAAGCTAAACTTTACCATCGACAAAGTGAAGCAGCCAAAGAAAGAAAATACACGGCTTGATGGGCTCTTTTCTAAAATGGAAACAATTACAATTGGAAAACAGGGGGATAAGGGGTTCAAAGGGTGTATAACTGGAGTGAAGATCACGCGAGCATCATTTGGAGGCAAGCCGGAAGTAGTAGAGCCTATTAAGGACTATTTCTATGATGGTATAACCAAGGGTTACTCAGCTTCAGATGTCAGCCCAGCTGATAAAGAAAAATGTGGCAATGAGCCACCAGTGCCTCCAGAACCTACCCCCCGTATTATGGGTCCCCGAACAGGTTTCACCACCAGCTCCCCAAAGGCTGGACTGCGAGCTAAACAAGAGGAGGACGACAAAACAGCCATTATTGTTATAGTTGTTCTTATCCTGGTTCTTTTGCTTGTGGTGCTAGCTATTGCAATCTACTGGTACTGGGCACGTCATAAGGGGGAGTACCACACCCATGAAGATGACGAGGAACTGAAAAGTGTTGATCCATACATTGATCCATCTGCGCCAAGGAAACCTCAGGCAGAGGAGCCAGAGAAGAAGAAAGAGTGGTACATTTGAGGATTTTCTTTTAATACTTTCATTTTGACTCCCAAGTACTCTCGTAATGTGAGATGTTGCTCGTGCATAGCTGACGAGTGACAGATCATCACGATGCTGCAGATGCCAGTTGAGTAGTGTTTTCTGAGCAAGTCTTGTGCGAGGTTCAGTACAGTTTTAATCTTGACTTTCTTGTTTGTCCCTTAATTTTGCATAATTGTGTCATTCTGCTACCTTTGCTTTTATATAAACACTTTTGCATTTTGTATGAAAAAGTAATGAAGTAATGAAGTAATAATAATGCTTACTACTTTGAAAAACCAATTAACTGTGGCGTCAGTGGAGATCAACTGTCATCGCATTGCCCTTGTTTTTTTACAAAAACTTAACAAGGTATCTTGAAAGTTAAACCACACTATAATAGATTAGTCGCCTTCATAGCTGCTTGGACTGGAATCTAGCCTGTGCCAGGCTCTCAGATAGTATAGTGCGGACGTATTAAAACGAGCAAAGCGAAAATAAGACGCGCGCTACTTGGGAAAGGGGGTGGTGGCGGCGAGAAAAATGTCTCTCCCCAGCCCCCGCGCGTTTTTCGCATTTCCTTTTACTGAACGACCTTTCACCACTATCTCGAAGCCTGGAACAGGCTAACTGGAATCACGCAATGCTCCTCCACTTTGCGTGACTCTGGCGGAGGCAGCTGCAAAGGAAACTACACCACAATGGTCACTCAATCAGAAATTTGACTTCTCTCCACATTTCATTGGTTTTCATTGTACCATTTATTAACTAGAAAATTGTGTAATTATTGTCAGTTGCCAACTGGCGTAATCTAGTTGAGACAAGTAAGAATGGGCTTGTTATATAATGTCGCATTAGCGGATGAGAATTTATTCTCATGGCAATGAATGAACAATTTATTATGTTACTATTGACTAATTCATTTAACCCTTTAAGCCCTAAGAATGATCAGTGTCAAATTTCTCCTTGTAATATCACTGCTTTATAAACAGTGGTCATGAGAATTAAGGACACGATCACACAAGTTGAGTCTAATGGATTCTTCAACAAATTGTCCTTACTACTTCTATTGAAAACGTATAGGGACAACAAATGAGAATTTGAATTTTGATACTAGGATTTAAAGGGTTAAACCAGGCTGTTTACCTTTTTTCTGTTGATTGTAGTCAACTATCTCATAGATGGATACCACTGGGTGTGGCATTAAGTTGCCGTCTTAGAGAGATGTCTGCTTCAAGGCCAGTTTGTATTAGCAACAGATTGGAAGTCGCAAGAATGCTTACCTTATTGTAGGAAATTAGCGCTTCATGAAATTAAATTCGCGTTAACTGAAGTCACGTTAGTTTTTGTAAACGGTAATTTCTGCGCCATTAATTAAGTGGAGTGTTAAATTCCGGTTTTTTCGGCTCAAATTTCTAAAGTGGAAACTTGAGCCGAAAAAACCGGATGCTCTCGCAGGCCAGAGATCTGCCAGTGTCAGTGAGACTGCTACGAAACCTCAAGGTAGCCATATTTCTTTGCATTTTGTACGTTTGGAAAAAGAAACAAACAAAGTTTTCATTTCGAAATATACATTTAACTTTGTTCCAGTTATCTCATTAAGTTTTGTTTCTTTGGAACGTCAATTTTTTTAATTTCTTTTATTTTAAAATATTACCCTGCTCTTTCGAGTTAATTTTCTTTATTTGAAAGCTGCTTTCTATTACATTTGCGTTAATTTAAGTTGCGTTGATTTCTTGGAGCGTTAATTTCGTATAATAAGTTATCACCTAGTGGAAATATCAAATCTGAGTCCTCGAAAGAGTAGTTGGAGTCGCAAGAATCATAGCGTGTTCATTTTCTGAATCTGCTTTTGACTCTGGCTTGTAACTAGTAAAACTGTCAGTATTGGAATCAGAGATTCAAGAATAGATCATTCACAGTGGCTGTTCCCACACATTGCTTGTTGGTTTTGTTTTTCTGCTTCTCAGCTTACAACTCCAACAATCTACAGTTTTTACTGGAGAGGTAGCCTGCGTCGCAGACACTCTTAATCGCTGTTTAGACCCTAGGGGGGGTACTCCGGATTACAAGTGACAGGATGATCGAATGGGGGCAAAACTCAAAACCCCTGGTACCTTAGGTAAGGTTCGGTACCCTGAAAAACCATAGGCTACTGGGCGGCATATACTTATCTAGCCCATAAGGGAGTGCACCCCTCCCCCCTCACCCAGGTGACTGTTATGCTGCTGGGTTTTACCAACAGTATGAAACAGTGGAGAAAATAAGATTTTGGAACAGCCTTCATCCATTAATGTAACTGTGGTGTACTAAATTTTTGTAAGGTATAATATGCCATTCTTAATACGTCAATAATATTGAATACGTCAATTTAAAAGTTGTCTACCAATATCTTACCAGTCCATTTTGGTGGACAAGGCTTGAACTCTCATCCTGCCCTTTATACACTAACATAAGTATGCATATTCTCTAACTGTTTTCTCTATACAGTTCCTATGGTACTGATGAGAATTTGTGAAACATTCAAGTCCTCCGATACGTAGTAATCCTTTTTCTTATTCCAGGGTCATACTGAGGTATATGGGATCAGGGATCAAGCTATAAATTGGGTGGGGTCAGGAATCACAGCGCCGGGATCTGGGATCACAAGCCGTGCGATCGGGATCAGTGGTATTGTAAGGGGATCAGGGAACCGGTTTTCCGATATAACAACAAAGACCACAAATTTCTGGAAAGCGCCTTAATTGGACGAACCTGCCAACATTTAAGGTGTTTCGATACAGTTGTTCGGAGACCATACCGATATTTTTTAATCGCCTTAAATGTGATTTTATCCTTGTCCGATCGCTATAAGATGGTAGACACTTTATTATGTATCTCATTCAGTCTTTATCAAGTATACGCAGCTAATACAACCCAGTTTGAATTCAGGGATCCAAAAAATTTTTTTAAGCGATCAGGGATCAAGATTTGCAACCATTTTGAGGTAAGGGATCAAAATTTAAGTCCAAAATGTGGGGTCAGTCGGGGGAAAATATACCTCGTTACGACCCAGTTATTCTCATGACAATATACTTTGAGTATTTTAGTGATCTTTTAATCTCTTAAAGTGAGCTGTATCTAATTTCTCAGGGCTGTCACAAAGATTTCAAGTTGCTTGGTATGAAAGGGAATTGATCACATAGGACCTTCATAGCTTCTATTTTCCTTTAATTTGTTTCCCATGAAAACAGCAGCAACCATGGTAGCCAGCGGAAATCCTCGCCCCGCCCCCGCTAAGCGACAGCCCTGATTCTTGTTAAGGTCAATTCATAAATTAATATTTTAGCTGTCTTTTTATGGGTTTCAAGAAATTGCGGTAACCTTGACACCCACTGAGCGTATTTTTTAGTGTGGCAAGAGCTTGCAGAGCTTTGCGCTCAACAAATAAAATTTTGCCTTGAAAAATTTTTTTGCAGTAAATAGTGCTCATTTAATAACAGTTATTGATACAGACATTTTTATAGCCTGCGTAGCAAGCGTTTCCGTTTGGTTTCGGAGCAAAGAAAGACCGAGGAACGGGATCCTCGGTTTTGGCCGCGCGAGAAATGAAACAAGAGCCAAAAATGAAAGTGGGGGGAGGGGGAGGTTTCCTTCCTTTCTTCCCCACCCCCTCCCCGCTCTTTTACTAACGCCATTTTCGAGCGGTCTTTGACTATCGTTCCTCGTTCGTTGCTCCTAAACCGCACGGTAACGCTTGCTACGCAGGCTAACATTTTTACTGCCAGACCTGCCATTGAAATGGGTAGTAGCAAGTGTACATAGCTAGGATATTAACTAATAGGTGTGTTCTATTGAATTTTGGCCATTCCTTAAAACGAGGCTTAGCTCAACACCTTTTTTTTTTTGTGATAACGACGTTTATTTGAATGAGAATAGAAAATCATCTTCATGTCAATAGCTTAACGCTCAGGCTCACTTTTAATCAGAGGCTGTGGGCAACTCGGAAATGGTCTCTTTACTATCATTTGACCATTCAAGTCCCATTTCATTCAGTGTTAAATACTTTTGTATCTGTGGACCAAACAGTATGGTGTGTAGCCTGAATTCGGACGATTACTTCGAGTCGTTTTTTCCTCTCCGTCTACCGGAAGTGGCCTTTTCATTTTTGGACGATGGTTTTGCCCAAATTTTCAGTCAAATCGTCTCTTAAAAGAGAGAAAATGTCTCACTTCCGGTAGACGTCCGTCCCTCCAAAACGCCTTTGCTCAAGCTCCCTACTGAGGGAGTAAAAACGACTCGAAATAATCGTTTGAAATTCAGGCTAAATGATGTGACCATACAAATGAAACCATTTTGACAGTACTTTTGCAAAGTTGTATTAATTTTTTTGGTTAACGATGAGTCTATGTGACTTAATCATATGATGTAACCATTCAAAGTAAAATTCTTGAGCATCTTGAGCAGTACTTTCACATGGTACTATGTATTTAGTCTAATTCTAGTGAATGCTTTGGTGTGATCATTCAGAGGGAACCTCTTTGGGCGACTTTTAGTATTTTACAAAGTGAACTATAATATTTAGCTTGAACTTTGCTATTGGCAGCTGGTCCCTACGCGTTCTCGGCTTGGTCAATCCTGGACTCTTCCGGTACGTGACGTCACCAAGGGATTCCCAGACCTCGCGCGGACAACGTTGCAAGACAGAACTCCTAGGGACTGTGCTGTGTTGTTGGTGGTACTGCTTGGGTTGCAAGGGTTATAATTAAAAGAGTACCTACCATGCATAACTGATACTTTTTTGTTTTTTCTACAAAAACAAAACTTATCAAGTATCAAAATACAAACTCTCTGGCATAAATTGTTTTAAATAGTCCTTGAGGATGGAATTGTACGTGATTTTGCACCGAATTCTTTTGACCACTGTAGGAAAGTTGCTGAAATTCAAGCTTATTTTTTAAAATTATCTTTTCATCTTGTTTATCTCTTTTTATCATCGCGGACTTAACAACCCCAAAATGGCAAAAAAAATGTGAGATTCTGAACCTAGAGCTGGGAAAAGTAGTGAGAAATGGGTAAACAGTCGTGAGATGTCCCAAATTTCCGAGTGGAAGGACTTCCCGCGGGAATTATGGGTACTGGAAGTTACTTATCACTTTATTTTAAAACTGGAGCTGTAATTTTATTATTTCTATGTTTTGTTGGGGCCATTTTGAAACATGAGAAACGCTCAGTAAGTCTGCGCATTTGATGGCAGCAGCAAGTCGCGGTAGGCTAAAAGAATGTCAAACGTGACCGCTAAAGGTTTTGTTTGGATTGAGCTGGTTATCTAACGATATTTAATTTGGAAACGAACCCTAGCTGTAGCTCCAATTTTGTTTGGCTATTGACTTTTCGAGAAACCGTGAGAAATAAGTTGCCAACTCGTGAGAGCGTAAGATAGGTCTGAAACTTGGCAAGTCTGATGTCATTGTTGTAGTAATAGGCCAAAATGAATGTACATCGTCATCACATGTACTTTTACATCGCACAAAAAAGCAGAATAGTCGTAAAGTTCCAAAGTGAAAATAACAAAAAAAATCGAGTAGACAGTATTAGATTTGACACCATCCAACTATGACAGGAGCACCGGAGCCCATGCTTAACCCTTATCATGGGCTCCTGACTATGGATAAGGTCGCAACCAGTGTAGAGTGTGGGCTCATTTTCCCGAACAGCGGCTGGTAATCGAGCCTACAACCAGTGTTATTCCGTTGGCGAAGTTCAAGTTAAATTACCAGCGAAGCACTAATACTGGTTATTTTTGCAATCTGGAACACACGACTTGACAAATGTCCGGGGGGAGCGATGGGGAGGAGGGAAGGGAGTACCCTTGGAATTGGCTATTAAAATCACAGTGATCTCGCGCGTCCCGACTGACTACCTTACCGCCCCGTGCAAATCTAGTCTGACTTGTTTCGCAAACTTTGAATATATTGTCATATAAATGTTCTTATCATTTTCACCCAACTTTACCCAGGCGTTCTTTACAGTTTTGTTGACGGAGTTTCACTTACTGGTGCCAGTCGAAAGTTTGAAAAACCGTCGCGTGGAAGGGTCTAATATCCGTTTGACGCTCACTTCTTGATACGCGCGCGGGGAGGCGCGCGCGGGTGATTTAACAAATGCAGGTGCTAACTAGTGCTCAGTCCTTTCGAGTTCAGTCTGACAACAAACAATATGGCGGCCTCCAAGAGTCGTGGAGGCAGAGAGACGTTTTCCGATCAAATACTGTACGATAACCCAACAAAGACTTAACTGAAAGGAAAACGAAGAAAGATGCTTGAAAAGCAAAGCAAGCTAGGCTTCCGTCAGGTATTTAAAAATAACTGCACATAAACAATTCTCGATCCACTTGAACTCGAGCAGCTCCGCTTTGCGCTAAGGGTTACAGTTCAGTCCAGAGAACCCACAGCTGGAATTCACTTTTACTGTTTTGGTAAAAGGAAAAGAAGACTACGGAAGATTGAGAAAAGTTCTTAACTTGAATGCAAGTTACAATGGACGCTAATTCTACCTTATTCCCTTTATACAATGTTAGCTTTTCGCTCCCAAAGCCACTTGATGGCAATAGATATCATATCACGAACCATAGATCTTTTTGTTTTTTGAGCGATTTCATCCTATGACTTCTTCGCTGACGCGAAATTATAAAGCCTTTTATGAGAAGTTTTAAAAAACAAAAGAAGAAGTTTGTCTTTTACGGCTGGCCGCCATGTTTTTTTTTTGGCGCCAAAATTTGTACCTGGTGCGCGTGGGATCGAGCATTGTGATTGGTTTATTCTTCCGCCGCTGCTCGGGCTCCGATTATGTGGCCGGTTTTCACTGAACTGTATGTGAAATTTCAACTAACAATTTAGCCTCCTAATAAACCATTTTATATTTGTGTACTGAATGTCTTGGCCCAAGAGAGAATGCTTGGCCATAAGTGGAAGCAAGGTGGGAGTTGACCAGAAGTGGGTGAGGGTGGGGGGACGGGGGGTAGCAAAACTCAACCAATATTTGGGTATAGGTGAGAGCGCTGTGGTTTTGAAACCCCGAATCTGTTTAAGCCAAAACTTTCTTAGCTGCAAGATTTAGCTGCTGTCGGTATCATCAGGGTGTTCGTTATAGCTAGGTGTCTGCAACACAAGAGTTGACTGTATGTGGTTTATTGTAAGGGAAACTAAACAACACCCTCTTTTTTAAATTTTGTTGATATTGACGGGGCCTTTTACTGTAAGCAACTTTGTTTGTGACTTGTGGACTGCTTACATAACTCATCAATTTAATGGCATTTTGCTGATGAATGCAGTCAATGTTGTATGTTGATTTCCTGCGAGGTAATCATACTGCCATAAGTTGATCTCTTTATCTGGCCATAATGTTTATTTTAAAGACAGTTTGTTTTTAGTCTCCCACACAACTTAGCCTTGTTTTGTCCCCCAACACCTCCAAAAGGGTTTCACGACAGAGCTAAGAAGAACTGTGTGGGAGACTAAATTAAATCCAAATTGCAAATCAAGAAATCAACTAAATGAGAGCTGATGGAACACACTATATCTTTCTTTTTGATTCAAATTTCAAATTTTATATTCCCCTCTGTTCTAAAACCGTAAATCTTCTATTGACCCCACCAGCCCCCAGGTTGTAGCAAAGAAGATAACATCAGTCCTCCATAAAAACTAGAATGCAAAGTGTAAAAGCTTGAGTACAGAAAGCCAGAGGTCATGTACAGCTATAGCTGAAGATCATAAACATATCCTTACTTCCAGCACATGAGTAAACCATCCGGGATCAGTCCACATGAAGTCGTTAATGATAATAATATTAAAACAATAAATATTCTTTATAGAGGAAGCTCCCGTCACATTTAGCGGCTTTCAGGGGCACTTTTCATTTGTCAGAACTGGCCGGCGGGACCATTGCTGGAGCAGTCATTTGGCAAATTAAGTCTGCTTTTTCGTAGAGTATTTGTTGAAAAACCATCTCCTTTGTGCACACTATTTAGGATTAGACTGATCTGGTCAGATAGTTTTGATTAAAAGGGAGATTCTTGTCATGACAGGAATGGTCTGGCCTGTCAGTTCTAACAAATGGAAAGCGCCGTAAGGTTAAATGTATTATTAAAACTACTAATGACAATCAAATCTAAGAAGCTAACAGTTAAAAAAGTTAAAAGGCTAAAAAGGCTAAGTGAAAAAAAATTACAGACTAAAAAACAGACTAAAAGATTTAACTATCATGAAAATACAAAGGCTAACGACTAAAAGGCTACAATGAAAATTTTACAAACTACAAACTATATTTGGCTCTTAAGATTTTTTTTAAGTCCCACCTTAAAACTTTACAAGGTATGGGTTTCCTTAAAAAATTGGGAAGAGTTGTCCAGCAACTAAT